ATCCCAGGGAATTTTTAAGAAATTTCATGAAATGTCATGAAATTCCAAAGAAATGTATGAAAATTATGTGGAATTCCAAAATATTTCAGTAGTGAAATTTTGGGGAATTTCGGTAAAGTTGGAAAAAAAAAATGTATGTAAGGTCATGTTAAGAAGTTTTATTTTTTTCCGAGCACTATCCACCAAACCCAACCAAAATCACGAGCTTATATGTGAAGTGTTTCGCTTCGATTACTTGAATATTAACCCTAATTTATTTATTTTTACATATAAGTGGTAGTTTTTGCGTAAAACAAAGACCCTCACCATTGGCCTTATTTGTGTCACTATGCTCCTAATAAGGCCACTAATGAAAAATGTTTAAAATAAATAGAATCATTCATAAAAATAATATTTTTTGACAAAAAGTACTCAAAATAGAACTTTAACGTTTGCTGCATTCTAAAAAAACAATAATTTTAAGTCCTGGGATAATGATCCAAATAGGTCTACACACAACAAGGACAAATGAATTGCAGCTTTTCTTGCTTTATTAAACTCCAGGCGCTCTAAAACACATCACTTAAGTAATAATATGACACATTCTTTTAAAAAAACACTGTGATGTGAGGCCAATTGGAAGTTTTTCATGTGGCCTTATTAGGAACATATTACATTGATAAAAAAAAGTCTGTATCTAGAAATCTAGCAAAGATATTATTCTGTACTTACTCTGTAGCTTCCTCAATACATAAATGTCCATGTTAAAATTACGTTCGCTACCTTCCCTTTATGAACATATGTATAAACTAATTTAGTTCCAGCTTCAAAGTTATAACGTGACATATGAAATCTGTAGTTAGCCATTTTATGACATATAACGAGTTGCTAAAAATCTTCGCAATAATTTTTGATTTGCATAATAGATATCTTTTTCAATAATATTGTAATTTTTGAAGATGGGATTCATTATTGAGCAATAAGGGGCACTGGCCTTATTAGGTACATGGCCTTATTTCGGTCAGGTACCTTATATGGAATTTTGAAATTGACATTTTCGAAGAAATTTTAGTGGAATTCCGAGAAATTTCATCAAATCCTTATGCCCGTATTACATCTGTGTATTTTTCCGTGTATTTATTCATGTAGTTCAAGGTGACAACCGAAAAACTTTAAACGCAACATAAATCAGCATTAGGAAAAACAAAATAATGTTGGCACCCTGAACTACATGAATAAATACACGGAAAATGCACATATTATGTAATATGGGCATTCTACTGTAATTCCGAAAAATTTCTCTAAAAATTCCATTCTGGTGTAATCTTAAGGAATTTCTATGGAATTACTTAAAATTTTCGCGGAATTCCTATGGAATAACTTGAAATTTGAAATATTAGTGGAATTCCAAAGAATTTCATGAAATTTCATAGTGTAATTCCGAAGAATTTTCGTTCAAGAATTCAATTGAATTTTATTGTGGAATTCTATGAAATCTTATGATGAAATTTGGAAAAATATTATTAAAATTTTTAGGAATTTCCGTTTTTCCATTCAAATTTACTATTTAAATGGAATTTCGAGGGATTCCATAAAATCTTCTGGTGAAATTCTAAGGAATTTCCGAGGGAATTTCTATGAAATTAACTAAAATTTTTATGGAATTTCCATGGTATACTTAACTTGAAATTTTAATGGAATTCCGAAGAATTTCATCAAATCTCATAGTGTAATTCCGAGGAATTTTTATGCAAGAATTCCAATAAATTTTATGGTGGAATTTCATAGAATCTTATGATCAAAATCGGAAAAGTATTATGAAATCTTATAGTAAAATTTCTAGGAATTTACGTTTTTCCATTCAAATATATCACTTGAATGAAATTTCGAGGAATTCCATAAAATCTTCTGGTGAAATTCTGAGGAATTTCTGTGGATGAATTGACTGAAATTTTCGCGGAATTTCCATGGAATAACGAATAACTTGAAATTTCAGTGGAGTTCCAAATAACGAGCCAAATAATTTCATAAAATCTTACATTGTAATTCCAAAGAAAAAAAAAATACATGTGAAATTTTTGCGGAGTTTCCATAGAATTCATATTAAATTTTAATTCCTCTCGAATTAAATGAAATCCTGAATGAGTTGCATGCAGAAATTCTAAACAATTACATTGAATTACACCGAAATTCCCAACATGAAATTTCAGTGCTCATTAAATTACATAAAGAATTTTAAAAAAGTTTCAAAAAATATGATTTCGAGGAATTTTCGTCGAATTATATGGAGCTCCGATGCAATTGCATGGAATTCTAAGGAATTGTCAGGGAATTACATGAAATTTAAGTGGAATTTTGAACAACTCTTATCGTTTCATAAGGAATTCCAGTGAAATTCCGAAAAATCCTAATGTAATTACATGAAGTTTTATTTTTATTCCAAGGAATTCCCAGTTAAAAATATGACATTTTAGTGAAATTGAAATTCCAAAAAATTCCCATCGAATTACTGAATTTTAGTAAAATTAAAGAAAATTTCATAAATGAATTCCCAGGAATTTCCTGCTAAAAACTTGGAATTTTAGTGGAATTTGGAAAAATTCCCATGTAATGATCGAGGTAATGATATGAAATTTCAATATATTTCGGAGGAATTTCGGTGAATTTTCAAGAAATTACTTGAAGTTTCATCAATATTCCCAGAAATTCCTGACTATTGAAATAAAATTTGAGTGAATTTCCGAACAATTCTTATGGAAATAAATGAAATTTTGAAAAAAAAAATAAAGTTTCATTGGAATTTCGAGAAATTTTTGACTAATGAAGTGGAATTTCAGTGAAATTTCAAAATATTCTCATAAAATTTCAGTAAAACTCCAGGAATTTCTAAGAAATTACAGGAAATGCCAGTGAAATTCCGAAAAATTCAGTGGTGAACTCGGTGGTGAAGTTTTGGGGAATTTCAGTGAAGTTTTAAAAAAATTATGGAATTTGGAATTTCTATAGAATTTTGGAAAATTTCAGTGAGATTTCGGAAAAAAAAAAAAAAAAAATTATGAAATATTTGCAGAATTTTCATCAAATTATATATACATAATTTCACTTTGTATCGACTTACATAATATTTCAATGAAATGTTGAGTAAAATTACATACATGAAGTTCCTTGATATCTTATTGTGGAATTCCAGTGAAATTACATGGAATCCGAAGAATTCCATTAGAATTAAACAGAAAGGAATTTCCGTGGCATTTCCATGGAACCACAAGAAATTTCCACGGAATTTCGAAGAATTTAATTAAATTTTAGTAAAATTCTGAGTAATTTCTATCAAATTACATAAAATTTTAGTGGAATTCCGAGAAATTTCTTGAAATCTTTTAATGTAATTCCCAGGAATTTTTGTGATCTTATCTTATGGTGAAATTCGGAAAAGTATGAAATCTTATTGTAAAATTTCTAGGACGTGCTGTTTCTCTATTCAAATTTGTCATTTGAATGGAATTTCGAAGAATTCCATAAAATCTTCTAGTGAAATTCCATAAAATCTTTCGAGATCCCCAAAAATCCGTTAAAATCTCTAAAAATTGTTTGGGATCTCTAAAAACCTTTCTAACTTCCCTAAAATGCCCCAAAATCACCTAACATCTTTTAAAATTCTGTGAAAGCATGTGAAGACTTTCAAAATCCTCAAAATCCTACAAAATCAATGAAGATTTAAAATCTGTGTACATATTTTAAAGAGTTAACCACCCCTCGGTAGCTACCTTATGATTTAGAGTTTGGAAAACTTTGAAAGGTCTTTACTTTTTTTCTATTAAAGATAAAAAGTTGAAATTTTCAGTGATTCTTCTCAAAGAAGAGGACTACAATTCCTGAAAAGTTCAGCTCATTTGGACTTATAGTTCCTGAGATAAAATCGTGTGAAGCAATTTGGGGTGATTTATCAATTTTTCAATTTTTCTGAGTGCTTTTTTTCATGGAATCTGGCTCCAAATCTGAGAATAATTTAGTGTATGGAGTTTGGGGGATCCCAAAGGAACATTAAGACACAAAATCTCACCCAAAAAATTTCGAAATTTCATCTTTTTAGTACTTAGATAGCTAAGTACCTTATGATTTAGATTTTGGAAAACTTTGAATGCTCATAACTTTTTTTCTATTATAGATAGAAAGCTGAAATTTTCAGCAATTCTTATCCCAGTAGAGATCTACAATCCCTGAAAATTTCAGCTCATTTGGACTCATAAGTTCCTGAGATGAGTGCCTTTTTTCATAGAATCTGGCTCCAAATTTCAGTGTATTGAGTTTGGGGGTGTAACACCGTTGAAACTTAATTAAAACCTCAATTGATAGGTTTGTAGAGAATTTGATTGGCTTCAATTAGAGCTCTATTACATTGAAATCGGCTGAAAATTAACAGAGTTGTGAGGCAAAAACTGTCTTAATGTAATTTTTGGCAAATTTTCAATGTCAGTTCCAACAGACAATTATAAAGTATTAAAAAGAAAATGAGATATCTGTTTAGCGCTTTCATAAGATATACCCAATATTATTATTTACATTTTTCATTTCAGAGTTGAAAAATATAAAGCTGAAAATAAGGACGAACACGACATCAGAAAACAAGAAGAAGTTTTACAAGAATGTCTGATGATGGTACCGGATTGCCAGAGAAGATTAGTCAAGGCCTTTGAAGAATTAAAAGGCAAGAGTAATTTGATTATTTTTAAGAGGATTTGTTAATATTGAATCAATTCTCTAGGCATTTTGGATACTGAACAGGATTTAAAAGAAACTGAAGATTATTCTGCTGCTGGAAAAGTACTTGAAGAGGCCAAACTCCAGTTACCCGCTGCTGGAGAATTGCATATGTGTTAGTTTTGGTTAACACAAAAAAGAGACATTACCTACCTAATAATAACCTTTTAATAATTTTTATATGAAATATTCTTTATTTAATATTAACTAATTCTATGTGTTAATTTTGCACAATTTCTTATTAAATTTTGTATCCCTACATGATGAATTTCTCCCAATATCATCAACCTTTGTCCCACAACCCAACCAGCAGCAGCAGACAAGCATCCGAAGTAGCTGCTCAAATTTTTCTCAAGCAAAACCTAGAAAAGACAAATGTTTTAGGTAATTATTTTCTAATAATTTCCCTTGAATCCTCATTCACTTTTATCAATATTAGACAATATCTACAACAAATCCAATGATGAGTTATGGATAGAGACTTGGCTTCAACAAAACAACATACACCGCCCTTTGCCGAAACTCAGAAAAGTTTATGTCCCTCAGGATGCTATGACTATACGTCAGGCCAAATTGCTTTTGAATAAATGCTTGATGATGCTACAAAAACTCAAAAAGGTAATCATCAATTGAAGAGAATATTAATCCTTATAATTTCAAATTTAAATTTTTTTAGTTACAACAAAGCCTAGAAAAAGAGTTGTCAACAATGTCTGAGGCAGAATGGAAAAAGAAGACCCTAGAAATTACTACACTAAAAACCGAGTTTACTAAAATCATGTTTAAATTCAATAAAGCTGATGTAATGAAATATTTGAATATCACCATTAGGACAAGGAGAAAGCGCAGACTCAACGATCAAAAACGAAGATCAAAGAAAATATTGGTCAAACAAGAAAATGAAGAAAAAAGGATTAAAGCGCATAAAGACATCGATCAATGGTTGGCCAATAAAAAAGAGGAAGTTGAAAAAGTCAAAATGGAAGAAGAAATGCAAAAAGACGCTGACTTGGTGCTGTCTGAAGTCACCAAGAAAAGAAACGATGCTCGTAAACAATTGTCACTGATTAGTGCACTTGTTAAATTGCGCACTGTACGAGAACAAATGGCCAATCAGCGTGGCGAAAAGCTAAACCTAGAAGACAAGAGAGCGTTTAGCATCACCACAGAAAAGTTGGTAAAAATGTGGGAAAACACTACAGTGGTTTATTTGAAGGAAGAACAAGGACTGAGGCTTATGTTAGGTAATTTTTTTTTTCTTTTGTGTTGGCAATACATATTTAATTTTGTCTATTTCTAGAAAAAAATCAAATCGAAGATACCAGACAAGCCAAGCTAGCCAAAGAACGTAGATTGGTTGAAGAATGGAAAACTGTCCTTTTCAGCCCATTGCACGCGATTCCTTCGAATTACCCGACGTTTTGGGCCCTGACCGCAGCGGAAAGGGACATAGGCACTTTTGTAGCAATCAGGAGAAGCTGGGATACTTTCTTGGTGCCTCAACATGCTGAAGAAGGAGCCAAAATTCCTATAGGGTGGATTTTGCCTAAAAGTCAAAACACTTTGGATAGCTGGAATCAGTACTTGGATCGCAGCACTTTGCCTCTATAATTTGCTTAACTGAGTTGGGGATTTATTATTATAAGATATTTTTGTATTACTTGCTTAATAAAATTACCTTATTTCATACTGTAGGGTGTGATTTTTAGACTTAACTCGAAGAGAACCTGAAGATTCCCAGGCTTGAAAAAACTATATTTCACAAATGGTTACAATAATATTGCACTGACATTACCGTAATTCCTTGAAAATAATTTTTTTATTTTCAATGAAGTAAAAAGTATAGTAATACACTTCTTTGAAATTATTATTTAAATTCCCGTCTAGAAATCTTGGAGAAAATCTATCCAGCATAATCCAGTAATTCTTATCATGATAGTGGAACCCATTCTCGACCTCATCTCTAGACATAAATCACTTATCTTGTTAAGTGCCGCAGACGAGGTACGTAACTTTTTAAGTAGCAAGGCAAGGCAAATAATTATTTTAAACAATAATATTACTAAAACATCTCTCAGTCTTGGCCTATGACTTGCTGTTGGTAGCTCGAGATGAGATATATTTGTGACCGGTTGTGCGGTTTTTATACCAAATCAATTATCCGCTAATGATATAATAATTGAGTATTTTTTTATTGAATTTTTGTGCATATAGTGATTAGTTTAATTGGATTTAATGTGTTTGGAAGGACTTATTAGTCAACAAATTGATTTAAAAAGGTAATGTAGGTAGTTAATTTTACAAAATCCAATTTTTAACATTTCTGGAAGAAGCTCTTTCTTTCCAAAATTCCAAAGCATAGGTACAAAAGATATGTTTCAGCAACTAATTTTAATTTTGAATATGGTAGCTTCCAAATCCATATTGACTGATAAAATGCATTTTACCAAAAAATATCACATGCACTGAATATTCGTTATTTATGGTTTAGCTCTGTATGTAACTTAACTAAAGTAAATACATAGTGAATTATGTTCGTTATAAATAATAGGATCAAATTACGGTGGATTAACCGGAAAGGGTACGTCATCGGCGAGCATCTATAACGACAATAAATGTGTCTTAATTTAATTCATCTTAAATACAACTCTTTTCTATGGCTTATGATTCAATTTTTTTTTGTGGTGTATTATGGTTTATTTATATATCTAAAGTGTAAATCTTTTTTGGTGTGGCTGAAATAAGTCCCAAAGAGATATAACCGTTTTTTCAAATACCTACCTATACATAATGAATGGATGGACCAGTAGAAAGAGGCTCCATGCTGTTGTATTAACTTATAGGAAAATTGCTAGAGGTTGTTGACGAGTAGAGAAAGATCTGGAAAAAAGATCGAAAGTATCACAAATTCAATGTGACCTCAGTTCAAATAAGTAAATTTTTTGAATAAATAAAACTAATAATGATGCAAGATTTTTTGTTAGTTATTCAATTCAATAATGAACCAAAACCTTGTAAATTGATGCTAATTTTGCGCTACACATTCCCCCGTAAGTTAGTAGATTGGTCGCAATTTTATCATTGAAATTTTTCAATTTAAGGAAGGTGATAATATGTTCATCAAATTTACTGTTTTACGAAATGTGAAAAATACCTAAGGCTTTATTTATCCACTTATTTATTGAGGCGCAAAATGTATGATTCTTATGCTTCCAACTTTCGGATCTTCCATTTTTGATCTAAGTTATGTATTTTTATATAGCTTATCCAATTTGTCTTTTGCTGATTGGTATTTTTTCAGAAGATTTTGCATCTTCTTCTGTGAAAAGTCATCTTTATAAGAGTTATATTAGATATGTCTATTCATGTAAACCTCTCTAACTTTTTGTTACTTGAGTCAGTTATATCTTTCTGTTTTAGTCTTTCTTTCGAAAAACTGTTATGCCTTTTCGCACTAAGTGTGTTTTGTATTTGTGAAGTTTTTACTTTTTATAAGATTTTCTTGCCTATTACTTTTATTGGGATTCTGTCGTTTGTCCCTTATTTTCTTCTACCTATCAATTTTTTTTCATGTGTACCTATTAGCTTTCTCTTATTTCTCAGCATTCCCTTTGTTTTTTGATTAAGTTTTGTGGGTTTTCATTTTCATTCCATAGATGTTTATTCAATTTAGGGCCAGTTTATTCACCTTCTGATGAATTGTTAGGTATACAAGTTGGCGGATAAAAACACAATCTGTGGTCCCATTGATCGGCAAGTTATGCGCCAACCAATAGAATTACAAATCTATACATTTATCTTACAGATAATAATCAGAAAGTTTATCTGAAGATGAATAAACTAGACTAGACAAATAAATAATTGTCTTGTTTAATTTTATTCTGAAGGTAGGAAATTTTCCTAAGGAAGAATTTTTATCGTAGGTAGCAAATAGATTAATTCCTCAAAAGTTTTCTTGTTTAAATAATCTGAAATTGTTTGTTTTATTTATTACTTAAATAGAAATAATAAAGAATAGGTATTATATAAATGATATTTTTAGTGGCGAATACAAATATACACGTATTTGGCTGCTCAGAAATTATTTCGTTTAGTTGAAATCGAGGAGTGAACCACCTTGAAAAATGTGTACACTAGAATCCCACTTTTAATGGAATTCCACGAAGTCGTACTGGAATCCCACGATATCCTACTGAAATTCCACGCAATCCTACTGATAGAAACTGGAATCCTACGGTATCCTACTGGAATCTCACGGAATCCTACTCGAATCTCATGGAATCCATGGAATTTCTTTTGTATTTTTAGAATTATTTTGAACCTTAGCAAGCAAAGAGTCTGGACGGAAAATAATTGTTTTTGAATTTAGCCGCCACTACATAGCCACAGAATGCAAACTAAGGAATCCTCTATTTAGAATCTCACTGAAATTCCACGGTATCCCACTGGAATTCCACGGAATCCCTTTGGAATTCATATCGGAATCCCAAGAAATCCCACGGAATTCCACTGGAATTTCTCAATTCAATTCAATTTTATTCATATCAATTCAATTCAATTCAATTCAATTCGATAATGCTTTTATTGTCGAAATTTCATAAAAACCATTGACAAAGCGATTCTTAAACTCTACACTCATTATTTCAGTTTCCCACGCACATTAGCATGATATTTTTTATCACAGTTAATGATATTCAAATTAATAATTAAATTAATAGGTACCTAATTGATTTTCCACGGAATCCTAAGAAATCCCAGGGAATTCCACTGAAATCCCACGGAGTCCTATTGAAATGCCACGCAATCTTACGGTATCCTACTGGAATTTCACAAGAAATTCCATATGGAATTTCTTATGAATTTTTAAAATTAGCAAGCAAAGACTCTGGACGAGACATTATCGTTTTTCAGTTTAGCCGCCACTACATAGGCACAGAATGCAAGCTAAGGAATCCTATTTGGAATCCCACTGGAATTCCACGGAATCCCTAGAAATCCCACGGAATTTCACTGAAATTCCACGGAATCCTATTGACATGCCACGCAATCTTACTGGAATCCTACGATATCCTACTGGAATTTCTCATAAATTCTTAGAATTATTTTGAACGCTAGCAAGCAAAAACTCTGGACGAAAAAGTATTATTTTTCATTTTAGCCGCCACTACATAGGTAGAGAATGCAAACCATTAGGAATCCTATTAGAATCCCACTGGAATTTCTCGGAATCCCAAAAAATCCCACGGAAATACACTGAAATCCCACGAAATCCTTGAAATGCCACGCAATCTTACTGGAATCCCACGGTATCCTACTGGAATTTCTCAAGGAATTCCATATTGAATTTCATGTGAATTCTTAGAATTATTTTGAACGCTAGCAAGCAAAGACTCTGGACGAAAAAGTTTTGTTTTTCAGTTTAGCTGCCACTACATTAGGCACATAATGCAAACTGAGGAATCCTATTGGAATCCCACTATGGAAATCACGACGCAATCCCAATAAATCCCACAGAATTCCACTGAAATCCCACGGAATCCTATTGAAATGCCACGTAATCTTACGGTACCTATCCTACTAGAATTTCTCAAGGAATTCCATATGGAATTTTTTGGGAATTCTTAGAATTATTTTAAACGCTTGCCTAGCAAGCAAAGACTCTGGACGAAAAAGTATTGTTTTTTAGTTTAGCCGCCACTACATAGGCACAGAATGCAAACTAAGTAGGTAATGCTATTGGAATCCCAGTGGAATTCCACGGATTCTCAAGAAATCTCACGGAATTCAACTGAAATCCCACGGAATCCTATTGAAATGACACGCAATCTAACCTACTGGAATCCCACGGTATCCTACTGGAATTTCTCAAGGAATTCCATATAAAATTTCTTGTGAACTCTTAGAAATGTTTTGAACGCTAGCAAGCAAAGACTCTGGTCGAAAAAGTATTGTTTTTCAGTTTAGTCGCCACTACATAGGCACAGAATGCAAACTAAGGAATCTTATTTGGAATCCCACTGGAATTCCACGAATTCCCTAGAAATCCCACGGAATTTCACTAAAAATTCCACAGAATCCTATTGAAATGCCACGTAAACTTACTGGAATCCTACGATATCTTACTGGAATTTCTCAAGGAATTCCATATGGAATTTCTCAAGAATTCTGAGAATTATTTTGAACGCTAGCAAGCAAAGACTCGTTTTTCATTTTAGCCGCCACTACATAGGCAGAGAATGCGAACCATAAGGAATCCTATATTATATCCCCACTGCAATTCCTCGGAATCCCAAGAAATCCCACGGAATTCCACTGAAATCCCTCGGAATCCTTGAAATGCCACGCAATCTTACTGGAATCCCACGGTATCCTACTGGAATTTTTTGTGAATTCTTAAAACTATTTTGAACGCTAGCAAGCAAAGAGTCTAGACGAAAAAGTATTGTTTTCAGTTTAGCCGCCACTACATAGGCACAGGATGCAAACTAAGGAATCCTATTGGAATCCCACTGGAATTCCACGGAATTCCAAGAAATCCCATGGAATTTCACTTAAATCCCACGGAATTTCACTTAAATCCCACGGAATCCTATTGAAATGCCACGCAATCTTACTGGAATTCCACAGTGTTCTGCTGGAACTTCTCAAGGAATTCCACATATAGAGTTCTTAAAAATTATTTTGAACGCTAGCAAGCAAAGACTCTGGACGAAAAAGTATTATTTTTCAGTTCAGCTGTCACATTATGGGCATAGAATGCAAACATGAATCCTATCGGAATCCCACTGGAATTTTACGGAATTCCACTGAAATCTCAAGGAATCCTATTGAAATGCCATGCAATCTTACTGGAATCCCACGGCATCCTACTGGAATTTCTCAACGAATTCGTTAGGTTGAAACTAAGAGGAGTGAACCACCTTGAAAAATCTGTACACCAGAGCTGGGACTCTGTTACGAAAAGAGATATTTTCTTTATCTGTATTGACGTCCCCTCTTTATTGATTTCGAAAAGAGAGAAGAAGACAGCAAGTTCCATAACGATAGGGATAACATCTCTATCCGTTACAGAGTCCCAGCCCTGAATTCCAGTTTTCACGAAATCCCATGAAATCATACTGGAATTCCACGATATTCTACTGAAATCCCGCAATATCTTACCGAAATCCCACGAAATCCTACTGGAATCCCACGATATCCTACTGGAATCTCACAGAATCCAAATGGAATCCAATGAATTTCTTTGAGGAATTCCATGAAATTTTTAGAATTATTTTGAACCAACAAACAAAGACACTGGATGAGAAAGTATTGTTTTTCAGTTTAGCCCCCACTACATAGGCACAGAATGCAAACTAAGAAATCCTATTGGAATCCTACTGAAATTCAGGACGAAATCCCAAGAAATCCTACGAAATTCCACTGAAATCCCACGGATTCCTATTGAAATGTCACGCAATCTTTTTGGAATCTCACGGTATCCTACTGGAATTTCTCAAGGAATTCAATATGGAATTTCTTGTGAATTCTTAGAATTATATTGAACGCTAGCAAGCAAAGACTCTGGTCGAAAAAGTAGGTATTGTTTTTCAGTTTAGCCGCCACTACATAGGCACAGAATGCAAACTAAGGAATCCTATTGGAATCCCACTGGAATTCACGACGAAATCCCAAGAAATCCTACGAATTTTCACAGAAATCCCACGGAATCCTATCGAAATGCCACGCAATCTTACTAGAATCCCACGGTATCCTACTGGAATTTCTCAAGGAATTCCATGTCGAATTTCTTATAAATTCTTAGAATTATTTTGAACGCTAGCGAGCAAAGAATATGGACGGAAAAGTATTGTTTTTCAGTTCAGCCGCCACTACATAGGCACATAATGCAAAATAAGGAATCCTTTTGGAATCCCACTGAAATTCCCCGTATTCCCAACAAATCTCACGGAAATCCACTGATATCCCACATATTGAAATGCTACGCAATCTTACTGGAATCCCATGATATCCTACTGGAGTTTCTCTTCTTCTCTCTCTTCTCTTCTTGACTATGCAATTCCACTGTTTCAGGACTAATTGGATGCAAACTACAGCCATTTCAATTGAACGTTGCATAAACTCTCAATAAAATTATGTCAATAAGATTTACCGCTGCACGCCTATAATTTTTCTTAACTTAATTATAGGTACTTAATCGCTGGCTTATCAAAGAAAACAATATCGAAAGCTTGTGAAATATATTTATAGATCACACTAATAGAAGCCGATTAGAGTTTCAAAAACTAGTAGATATAATTGATAAAAGTTTTTTTTCAGATGATTCATTTCGTACTAATCCTAATCCAACTAGCACTAGTGACTGCTCGGCCGGATCAGACCAATTTCGAACCGTGTCCAGGAAATTACGACAAGGGCCTTTGCAACAGGAACATTTTCAAATGGGCCTTTGACCACGAAAGAAAACAATGTATCACATTTATATGGGGCGGCTGCGGCGGTAACGACCGAAATCGATTTGATAGCGAAAAACAGTGCATAGAAAAGTGTTTTGTAAATTTAGGTCTGGATTACATTTTTGTAGTACATAGTTGAATATTTCAATTGGTAATTTTTAGATAAAAATAATGATACTTTAGCTCAAAATGATAGCAGTGTGATACCAAAGGAGAAAAGAGGTCCTAAGTTGACGTTCCAGGAAACTGGTACCGAGAATATATTTATGTTTGCCCAATCGAATACTTTTATACAAATTGATGGGGATATTATTCAAACTTTTCAACTAAGGTAAATGAAAATGATACATGTCTGTCTTAACTTAATTGCCAAGATAAATAATGTCTGCATCTATTACTTCAGCAAATAATCACTTGATACTATATACCATTACCATTGATGGTGTTTCTCCATCAGGGAAAATGGGAGTACGATATAGTAACTTAAACCTTCCCCTCTTGCTACATATTTATCATAACATTTCCTTTCTAGCTCCCTTTTCCTGTTTTTGTAACTCTCGTCTCAGTATGTATATCGTAAGATAATGTGTGTTCTCGCATGTTCTTGTCATTCTACCAATTATCATCTACATTGACCTTTATTCCAATGTCTATAGTCAAGGCTGTCTTGGATAACTTTTTACAAATGGAAATAGTACGTCCTGGTCACCAATACAAATAAACATAATGTTGTTTCAATCACTTGGTGAAGGTTCTACAAGAAGCAAATATCCAGATAACGCTTGTGTCAAAAAAATCTTGGCAAAGTTCTGTCATTCTCTCCAGGCCTTCCATGGAAGTGCGGATTTTTCATTAATTCCTACACTACTACTTTATACCCAAAAAAAGAAAACAAAAAGTCATGCCAGATCGAGTATCATTTCAGGTTCATTGCGAACTTGTTTGCTTGATGTTGGCAGCCATTCCTCCATAATTTCTATCCAAGGTTCCTGATATATTGTGATTGCATGTGACAATATCCAAATGATAAAAGTGTAAATGTGTTCCAAGCAAAAATATAATGGCTCCGCTCAAATCACGATCAATTTCAAAATCCATTCTCTTATAGATTGTGTCGTCAAATATCCTTCCAATTCCGTACAAGATTACCTCACGGACTCTTAGTGTACCACAACGTAAAAGTACCAAAAGGTGTATCGCTTCAACCGTACGCCTTGTATATAATTGTGCAACAAGGTCAACTTAAAGTGGTGCACGTTTATGGAAAACATTCAACAGCTCTAACAGTGGGAAGAGGATTGAATAATGACGAATGGCACACTGTTACAGTAAGAAGTCAATTACGTAAAGTAGCAAGCAAATTTAATTCGTTTTAGGTCAGAATTGATGTACATGCGGCTAAATTGTTAGCAATAGTGGACGAGCTAAGGGATGAAACTGATCTTAAAGGACTCGATACTGAAAATAATTACGGGGTTACTGCTAATGTTACTTCGGTGATTTTGATTGGAGGTGCTGCCTCAATATTATTATATGATATCATCTAATACATTGATATGTTACAGGTTTAAGCTCAGAAGAAAGACTCCACGGTGTTAAATACATAATAGAATCCTTCGTAGGATGTATAAAGGATGTTGTTTTAAGCACAGGCAAATCTGCCTCTGACTTATTGCAAATATCACCGTTAATAGCTACAAAACACGAAAATGTACAGGAGGGCTGCAAGAATAAATGTATGACTTCTGAGAATTTGTGTTTTAGAGGCTCTAGATGTGTTAATCATTATTATACGAGAACTTGCGACTGCTTTGGAACAAAATATGAAGGAGAATTTTGTGATATTTATAGTAAGTTGTAGTAATTCAACTGATATTCTTCTGTATCTTCTTTTTAATTTCAGCTGCAACTGTTCTCACTTTACGCGGCTCATCATACGTTTCATATAGAGTCTACGATTGGAAAGACAGAGTCCATTCATCGATAACAAGGTTTTCGATGATGTTTAAAACACGTTTTGATGATTCTGCTCTTTTATATGCAGCTGGAGGTGATCACGGTATAGATCACTACATAGCAGCTTCAATTTTCAACAACACAGTCTACGTAGTGATGGATTTTGGTGAAACCAATCCAGTAACGGTGATTTTAGGCCAAACTCCCGACTTTAAGTTACACGAATGGAACAACTTTACCATATTCCATGAGCACGAAAAAATCCATCTGATTCTAAACGACGAAATCAAGTCCATCAATATAACTGGCAAGCCTTTGTTGTACATAGATCCTGAAATTTACATCGGTGGCGGTCCGGAATTGCAAAAGAAAACTGGCCTCAAATCCACTAATAATTTCGTTGGCTCGTTGAAGTACGTGTTTTACAATGACATTTCGATTATGTATGAGCTTAACAAAAACAATCCGAAAGTGCACTATATTGGAATTTTAAGGCCTGAGTTTTACGAGAGCGACGTCAAAATTATTCCAATTACTTTCCCATTTTCGGCTAGTCATATTTGGTGGCATAATGATCATGTTGATACATTGAGTCTTAGTTTTCACTTCAAGGTAACGCAGTTTCTGAAAACAAATTTATAATTAATTGACTATTTTTTAGGCCAGCAGTAATTTAAGTGTCATAGCTTCAAGTGAAGCCCAAACAGGGCTGTATTGGGAAGTTCGTGTAGTAAACGATGAAGTACGTTTCGAGCTTCTAGACAGCGTCAAGAATGCTACGCATTTGATAAGCGTTAAGAAAACTCCTGGTCAATGGCATTTTCTTAATGTGACTTATGCGCAAGGAGAAATTTCCGTTAGTATTGATAAGAAAGGGAAAACGGAGAAAATTTCTGATTTGAAATTTGCCATTGGAGATAAAATCAAAATTGCTGCAGGATCTAGAAGCAATGCAGGACTAGTGGGGTAAGAATTTGCTTGCTAAAAAGCCATCATAGTTAAACCATTAAATTGTAGATGCATGAGAGACATACAAGTCAATGGAGTGTGTGTGGAACCAAGAAGCATTTTGCAAACTGAAAGAGTAGTCGGTGAAGTTACTTTGGATGATTGCAGGCAAAAACGAAGACATCTATTATTTCCTATTAAATTGAAGATATTTATTTTAGATTTGTAGACGCTTGTCAAAGACCCAACACCTGTGAGCATGGAGGCAAATGCTCAGTCAAAGAAAACCGTTTAACTTGTGACTGCACCAACACAGGTTATATCGGTACCAATTGCCATTTTGCCCTTTACAGGAAAACTTGTGAAGAATTGGCCCTATTAGGTAAATAAGGTGAAATTTTATAAAAATAAGATCTTTTGCTTTCTTGGGTGTTTTCATATAGGTTACACCAAGCCTGATGTGTATCTCATCGATATTGATGGAAATGGACGATTTCCTCCAGCACATGTAAGATGCGAATTTCAAAGTATCGAAGAATCTACAAAGACAATTGTCGAACATAATTTGCCTAGTCAAATTGATGTACGATCACCATCAGAACAAGATTTTAGGTACAAACTCTCATGGGACATTCAACTGCTAAAATCCAATTTAGTTTCAGCATAAAATATCGCGAATTCAATGCTGAAATGCTCCAAGAATTAGTCTCCCACTCGCTAAACTGCAGCCAATATATAAAATATGATTGTTTCAAAGCACCCTTGGAACTTCATTCATCTACATGGTTCATATCTTCTGCCAATCAGACTGTGGACTTTATCGGAGACGTCAAAAGAGGCACTTGTCCATGTTCCATTGGTCGCACATGTGAAAATCCAACCCAGTGGTGTAACTGTGACGATGTGTCTGATGACAAATGGGATACTGATGATGGATATTATACAACAGGTATTTGGATGTTTTAAAAAATATTGAAGTTACGTGATTTTGTTTCAAGGAGCTAGCTTGGGAGTAACTGAGATGTACTTTTTACAACAATCAGATTTACCTGAAGATGCTCTTGGCAGAATTACCTTAGGACCTTTGGAATGTGTCGAAACAAGTCAGTACTCAATAACACATTAGACTTCTTAACGAACAATTTCTAAAAATGTCTAGATACTCAAAGATATGTAGTAACATTCACTACTAGTCAGTCCTACATAGAAGTCCCTGGTTGGAGAAAAGGTGATTTGGCCTTCTCATTTAGAACAACAGGCAAAAAAGCAATTTTACTTTACCAACCACCGATTAGACCTAACTATCCTAGTTTTATGATTGCTTTGACAAGCGGTAGGTATTCAGCTACTGTAAAGGCACTCAACTAATTGTTCACTATAGATTTTCAGCTCACCTTCAATTTTACTTTGAACACTGGAGTTTCAAAAGAATTAGTAATCGATTCTGGCAGACGGTTAAATGGAGGCGAATGGCACAAATTGTGGATTGATTACAATAAGTATCATGTTAGGTATAATAATTATTAGTGTATCACAGTTTTTTATATTTTCGTATGGTTCGTTCATAGGTCGATCGAGTGTACGCCACTGGTATTTTCCTGTTACTGACTATTCCCTCAACCTTTCCATGTTGGTATGAATTCAATCCTATGTACAGTTTTTGAGTAATCATACACTTTCCTATGGCTCAACCTATAAAGAGTTCTGAAATACCAGAGAAATTTAACTTCAGAAGAGTCATATTATAACACATTCGGATATTTATCCTTTTGAGTGTGACACTTGCAAAGTAAAATTTAAACGAAAAGGCAATTTAAAGGAGTCACATGATAATGCATTCGAATATTCAACCTCTTGAATGTGACACTTGCAAAGTAAAATTTATACGAAAATCGGATTTGAAGAGTCACAAATCAACACACTCGGATATTTATCCTTTTGAATGTAACACTTGTAAAGCAAAATTTAAACAAAAAGGTCATTTGAAGACTCACCTATTAACACACTTAGATATTCATCCTTTCGAATGTGACCTCAACATAGAGATGATAGGACTATGACATCAGAAACTACCTTTTTAAGTTTTTGAATAATTATACAGTTTTGTATATTTTCGTATGGTTCTCCATTGGTAGGTCGATCTAGTGTGCGCCACTGATATTTTCCTGTTTCTGACTATTCCTTCAACTTTTCCATGTTAGTATGAATTCAATCCTATGTACAGTTTTTGAATAATCATAAATAATACGTTGATTATGAAATATTTCTACATATAGGTTTATGATAAATGAAGACTATCAAATGGTCGACTTGAAACCCGAGGAAGAATTTGGACCTTTCGAAGGCTCGATGTTTATTGGGGGTGCACCATAGTAAATTTATTTTTTCTAAAATTTTGATTTTGAATAATTAATTGAAATTTTTTCAGTGATCTCCTAGATTCAAGATCATCCGTACACCAAGGTTTGATCGGCTGTTTCCGTGGTTTGGTAGTTAATGATGAAATTCTCGACATTTATAGCTACATGAGCGTTCATTTGAGTGAAATCATCAAAGATTGCAAACCGTCTTGTGTACCCAATCCTTGTAAAAATGGTGCTCAATGCAAAGAGCTGTGGAGCACTTTTGAGTGCATTTGTCCAAATCCGTGGGCTTACAAAGGACAGTTTTGTGAAACGAGTGAGGATTTTTGACAAATGATCAACTCTGTGATCTAATGAATTATTTTCAGATATCAATACTAATGCAATCACTTTTACGCAAAGCGAATCGTATATTCATAGGAATTATTTCACCAATGACACTGAAGAGGAAAAGCATATATTGAGTGAAATATTTAAAAAACGAATTTTGGTTAATTTGAGAACTTACGATAATAATTCTTTGATATTTTATGCAAATGATCATCTAAATAATTTTGTGCATTTACATATAATCGAAGGCAATAATATAGTTATTTATTAGATAATGGAACATTATGATACAAATATTTTAGGAACCAAAGTAGAATATTTATTCAACCACGAAAATCAAATTCTCAACATTACAGTACCCTATGTAGATCTAAATACAAGCAAATCAGTCCAAATTGCCATAATACGTCAAGAAAATCTTACTACAGTTTTTGTAAATGACCAAAACAGTTCAGTTCCTTTTGGTGTGAAATTGTTGGAAACTTATTCAAACAGACCATGGATAAATCCTGATAAAGGCAAGTAGAAATGTGTGTAAATATCAAACAGTGAATGTTGTTTTTAGAGGTTTTGGCCCCTCAACGTCCTCCTGCTCCTCCTACCGAGTATTTTCAGCTCAATATTGGCGGTTATGATCCTGAAACTTTGCTCAAAGTATCTGATCAGTTGCTAGTATTACCAGGTAATGATATTTTTGTGATGTAAGATTTATTTCATATTGACTTTCTTTAGGTTACATTGGATGCTTTAGAGGTTTCCAAATTAATGAAACTTTAATCGATTTGCCTTCGAAAATTACCAATAGCACTAAAGGTTTGTATAGATGCACTGAACAGATTTTTTTTTGAAATTATTTTTAGGTGTTTTAGCTCACTGCAATATGAAATGCGACGTGGAACCATGTCAGAATGGCGGTACTTGCATTGAAGATTTTAGAAAACAAGAACATACGTGCAACTGTGAACATACAAGTTACTATGGGGAATTTTGTAATGAGGAAAAAGGTACCATGAAATAATAATGAGTATTCAATTCAAAATGTTTTATTTAGGTGCTGATTTCAATGGAGAAGCCATCCTAAGTAGAGTTTTTGTATTAAATGGCACAGTGGACCATGTAAAAATCCAATTAGCTTTTTCAAGTTTGGATGTCAGGCAAAAGAATACTGTTCTTATGTTGCTTCAAACTGAAAACAAGTAAAAATTACATCAATAATTTACAAAAAGTTTATCCAACTAGTTTTTTTTAGTCGCAGCTATTATCTACTAGTAGGCCTGAGCCTCGAAGGCTTCCTAATAGTCCAAGAAGACCGCGAAGGAGAAGTTTTCTCAGCTACAGTCAATAAAAAAACCTTCATCAACGGCGCAAGACATTCGATTTACTACAAGAGAGACTTTAACGAATCGGAACTTTACGTGGACAAAGAACTAACGGAAATGGGACAAATTCCAGCGCAAACGTTTACGAACATTCCAGATTTGGGGGCTAACGAGGTGCAAATCGGCGGCCAGGAAACTAACGATCCGAGATTTGCGATTTATAAAAAGTTCAGTGGGTGCTTGTCAAGTAAGAACTGACTTTTTTTTCATCATTGAAAGAGATTCAAGTATAGCCAACTTTACTCTAGGTTTTATCGGTCCATTCAAAATGACCTGTAACTGTTCACAATGTTTTGTTCTAGATATTTTCATTGAAGTTAACGAACACGTAATGAAACCCCTGGAAGAGTACATGCTGTTCACTAAAGCAGGCTCGGAAAAAGTGAACGTATCCAACTCTCACGGGGTCAGAAGTGCTCAGTGTAGTGCCGATTTTGACGTGGTTCACGAAAAAGCACCTGGAACTCCCAATTTGAACATCAGTCAGGGCAAAGATAAAACCTGGGTCCAAGATGCTCCTCAACGCATTCTCTACACTTCCTTCTATGCTACTGATTCGGTTGAAGAAGATAATGTAGAGCAAATAATAGTTATAGTACTGGCGTCGTTTTTTGTTTTGGTACTCATATGTGTCAGCTATGATATCTACAGGACCAATAAAAAGTATAAACAAAAAAAAGAGTATGAAACTGATGCTAGTATTTTGTTATCAAAACAACAGGCCGCTATAATGCTTCAAGAAAATAACAAACATGTAAGTAGAAGGTACCTAATGTTAATTATTGTTTAAATTGTTTTTGTTTAGTCAACAGATAATGAATCTACAAAGGCCTTGTTAAATGGAAAATTACTCTCAGAAAAAGTAATAAATGGCAATGCCACTAATGGTACCACCAAAAAAGTAGAAGATGATAATATTCCTCTTCCAGAAGAAGTACCTTTGAAGCCTTTAAAAAGGGCTGATAGCAGACGGGATAGACAAAAAAGGATAAGCTTTAGAGGTATGTATATTTTTACCTAGGAAAATTATTTAAAATATATTTCATCAACTATGCAGATAGCGCTAGTGAGCTTAGTTGGGAAACACCCGAAGAATCGTCCGAAATCCTCAGTCCGATGCTGGAAGAGGAAGAAGAAAACTCTGCAGAAGAAGACAATGAAGAAGATGATGACCTGGACGCTGCAAATATTGTAAGTAGAACCGGTAGTCTACTAGGCATGGCACCATTAAGTACGATAAGTGAAGTTTCGCTGGCTGAAACGCAATCTATGCTGGTAAGCATCCATTACTAACCATGTATTTAATAGGTTATGGCTAATTTATTTTCCCCTAATGCATTTTGTATATTTTGAACTTGGACCGATTTCCGCTGCTCTGGATCAAATCTTCAGAATGAACTAGCATTCCTCTGTCTTTCTTCTACCCTCAAACTATCAATTTGTTTCAATTTGAACCCTTCTTCTTGCATGGGCATGTAACAAAATCATCATATGGATATAAGCAAAAAATGTCTCTTGTTTAGGAAATCAGACCTCCAACACCTCCATCACGTCGTGGTTCCAAAGTACCACCTCCCAACGTTCATCCTCTGGCCACAACTTTGCCATATATGATAGAAGAATCTGGTACCAGCATCTAAAACCATAATTTGTCAGTTTTTTAATAACCATTATCCATGAGGTTCTAGCATGATGAAAGGGGAAATGAGTGCTCATTATTTGGGAAAATTTTTGGATAGTCTCCTACCATTCATATCGTTGGTTTTCAATTGGAATCATTCATATCTCAGCTACTAATGAGGTTATCAACTAGTAATAGAACACTTTTTTCTAATTGTACACTGTTGTGATTTATAAAATAAATTTGCAAAATTTAATTTGTTTCAATTATTTTATATAGATATTAAATAACGAAGATACTGATACCATGCCAGAAAATCACCAATCACAAGAAGATTGTAAGTAAAAGCTTTAGCCAAATCAAATGATAGTTTAAATTTGATTACAATTTCAGCACAGCATAAAACCGATCCAGAAGATTCTGGTCAACGGATACCCAGGATTTATATACCATCGAAAATAATTACGAATACCAGGCCCATTTTGGTAGGCGATCATAAAAGGAAATTCGACAATCCTATAAGCTATTTGGGCGGTCCAAAGCTGCCTGCAAAAAATAGATCGAGCGTTGAAAGTGTTTTGTCTATAGATTAAATTTTAATTGTAAAAGAAAATGATAAGATTAGTATTATTTATTTGTTTGAAGCGGTTGCGTATTGATTACTGATTAGTGCATATGGAATGGTATAAATTTTGAGAAGCAAAAAGATCTATAGTGCGTTTCACCTGAATTGAACAACGTTTTACCTGGGATTTTCACCATAATTTGTTTGTCCACAACCTTGGTTTGTCCCACATTCAGTTTTGTGGCTCGAGTTATCGTAGATGAGAAATTAAACCTAGAAAATCCACAGGTTGTTGATAGAATGGTAATAGATGAAAGGTTTTAAATTGAAATTGAAAGATATCGAAACTGAAAAGGATATCTTTTCACCTTACCTGGCTTTACTTCCAAACTCCACTCAGTTGGCCAGCTCTTTCAGGTAGTTCAAGTCCAATGCGAAGGAGTGCAAACGAAACCGTCTTGATTTAACCGGTCGCGGCAAACGAAAAACCGCAGGCCTATTTTCTCGAACTACACGAAACGGACGGAATATGTTTGCCGACTGACTTTACTCGTTGGCAGTGTAAGGTTTTTTTCAGATATCCTTTTTCAGTGTTTAACGCGCGCATTTTTAAAAGCCAAATTTAGCAAAACCGTATCAATTCTTAGGCATATAGCACGCGCAATTTAATTAGAATAAAAGAAAATAAAAATAAAGAGAAAAAAAAAAACGAATCAATTTCCCTTCCCAAATAGGATTTGACATTCTAAATACCCAATTTAACCTACAACTATATACAGGGCGCATAGACGAAACTGAACAGTAGAGCCCATTTCACCTTTTCGTCAAGTGACGTCAGCTCAAGACTTCTTCTGCAAAACGATCTTACCATTGTTTATGATTGGTATCAGCTTAATGACATGTTCTTCAACATTGATAAGTGTTGTTGTAGTCAGTGACATCTTAACACTGTGTTAATATGTCATTGGATTCAGTAGACTCACCTGTAACGTTCCCTTTCAGTATTGCTTGAGTGATGTTCGCTTGTCTGAAGTCTCTGTCATCAAAAATCCTATTGCCTATTTAGATATTAGGATTCTATGATACTAGGTTAATATTCACCAAGTATTTCGAAGTGGTAATTGGCAGGGCTAATAGAATTTTGGGTTTTATTAAGAGTGCTACCAACCCCATCAAAATTCTTTACCACATCACTGGTCAGATCCGATCTTGAATTTTCTTGCCTAGTCTGGTCACCTTACTATCAGATTAACATCAATAGGCTTGAGAGTGTTCAACACAAATTTATCAAGTTTGCTAGGTACAAATTGTCTCTGAGTGGTATGATTCTCAGCGTTGACCAGACTATGACTTACTTAGACTTAAGTACTCATATTCGCAGAAGGGGATGTCTTGTAACGGGTCAAATTTTGATTAGTATTTTTAAATTCTGACGTCATTTTAGTTCTGTTGGTTTTTGTTTTGTATAAAATAAATAAGCGTCATACTTTTTGGCGCCCAACGTGGGGCCTATTTTGTTTTAACTGTTTGGGCGATCCTTGTGTTCTTCTATAGGCCTTTTATTGTTATCTTATAGAGGATTCCTGTGTCCTACTACCTTGATTTTCCATTGTGTTGACCATAGTTAGGAAAACGTTTTTTTATTAGTGCTAGTTGGTGTAGAACGTGATATCCATAGGAATAGTTGTGAATATTTAGTTCTTGAGTGATTTAGTGGAACTACAGGATACATTTTATTAATAGTGTTATTGTATTGGTATCGCCATGTCAAGAAAGATAGAAATCAACCGGCTGGACAAGGATGAGCTTGACTATATATGAGTTGAGATGGAGAGATATAGATATAGGTACAGTGGAGGAAATGACAAGTCACTTTACTTTAGCAAGACAAATGGAAAAGCAGAATGAAAGTTTACACTATCCACCATACCCTTTCTCATTTCAAACCGACGTAAATAGAGGCAGTGGCAAGGAAGTTGGATGGCCTGGTGCCGGCTATTGATGGTTTTTTAGACACGAAGAAGTAGTGGACAGTTTCTTAAACTGCAGTCTAAGTTGAATCACATCTTGGGAAGAGTAGATAATATACCTTGTAAAACACCAGATGAAATACATGTACGGAGTATACTTTGTGGCTCAAGTTTTAACTATGATACTAAAGCTGCAGCAGCTGACGCAAGCAATCTACCTACTCCTCCTAACTTGGCTGCTCTCCAGGGTGGTTTGGCCCAACTATCTTTTAATCCTCCTGCCACTCTACAGCCATCTAATATGCTATTACCCAGCTCAACTTTTGCTGCACCACCTCAATCGCCTATTATAGCTAGTACACCAACTACGTCACGATCTTCCTTTGGAATTCAACCTATTATGCCTCACAAGTAGAATATCAAGTTTAGCGGTGATAAACGCGGTCTTTCTGTCACAGCGTTCTTTGAAAGAGTCGAAGAGTTGCGACGTGCCAGAAATGTGATAAAGGACATTTTGTTAGAATTCGGCATTGATTTGTTCCCGCTGGTTTCGAAACATTAGACAAGCTTAAGGATGCCAAATATCTTAGCAGCCTGGATATTAAATGTGCCTATTGGTAAGTACCGGTTGAGGAAGCCTCGAAACCCCTGACTGCTTTTATCTGCCATCGAGGACTTTTTCAGTTTTGCCGTATGCCATTCGGACTTCATAATGCCCCAGGAACTTGACAACGACTAATAGATTAAATTCTAACAGACCTTGCTTATTTGGATGATGTGGTCATAGTTTCACAAATGTCTTCTGCTTCATCCATTATCGGTTTCAATTACCTACTGATATTTTGATGTAAATTCAAATACACTTTATTTTTCTAGAAATTTATTCTTAATATATATTTTTTCATTGTCATCGTAAAAAAAGACATCAAAAGCAGCAATTTGAATCAAAATAATAGGAAGTTATAATAATTGCTCTTTTACAAATGCATCGGAAAAAAAAAGTACCTACAAGCTATAATTATCATTAAATTAAATGTTTATGTTGAGGTTTGCAAAGTTTGTAAACTTGTTAAACCGAAGCAATTTTCTGGATAAAGTTTCAACAATGATAATGATAGACTACTATGATATGTAAATCATCATATATGAATCTGCCTTGTTTCTAAAACAGACATTTTTATGAAAATGGTAAGTAATAGAGCATCTATGGTGTTTTCGAATAATAATTTTTTTCTAGATCTTACCCAAAAATCAACTATTAAAAATTCCTATGTACTTATCAAGTACACATGGAATGTGGCCAATAATCTTCATTAACAACAAGAAACTTAAACGCATATATGACGTATTTGCCTTTATATTGGCATTTTATTTTATCGAGTACATTGTAAGAGCTTATTATCAACTTACTGTACTCTTGAGAGCTGATGTATTAAACCTCGAAGAAATCCTTGGTAATTTGTGCATCACTCTGATTTATACAGTATCGATGTTCCGATTGAAGGCTTTCAATTCCAAAAAAGTGAAAACTCTATTTTTGAGCATTATTGAAACTGAAGAGCAAATAATGAACGATTCTGAGGATGATGTTAAAAAAATTTATGAGTCGTTTTTGAAAGTGAATTTTATTTATAATCTGTTGTTTTTCTTCAACGGTTGGGTGGTATCTGTTTTGTATTTTGTACATCCTTTTTTGGTCACCTTACCTACAATGGAGCTCAATAATCAAACTGTTATTGTAAGGATTCTTCCTTTGTCCACATGGTGGCCTATTGATGTACAAAAACACTATTGGGTTAGTACCTACAAATAATCCACTATATCTTTATATCAATATACAATTTCAGTTAGCATATTGTTGGAACATATTTGATGGTACCCTAGGTAGTTCCTTCGTAATCAACTCGGATATGCTTACTTTTACATTGATAGTTTTTGCTTTGAGTCAACTCAATATATTGAGTCATAAGTTGAGGAAGTTTACCAAAAAACAAAATTTTGGCAAAAATGATCAGTTTCATAGGGATCAGTTTGTGAGTTTGATTAAGGAACATCAAAAGATTATTAAGTGAGTACGTATTATAAGTATGATGGAATTATAAGTTTGTTTTTGTAGCTATATTGATACGTTTAATGATGCAATGAAAAATGTAATGCTTTTCGACTTTTTGCAATGCTCAGTTCAATTGGCAACTATCACTTTACAATTGCTTGTTGTAAGTATGGCCTAATATACCAATAGAAAAGCTTAAGTCTGGTTTCAGATGGAAATAAATATACAAAATGTTATTTTTGTTGGTGAATTTATTCTTACAATGATTATTCGGTTGGTGATTTATTACTATAATGCCAATGAAGTAATATATCAGGCAAGTAATAATCAAAATTCTTTCAATTGAAAAGATCTATAAGAACTTATATTTTTAGAGTCAGCATTTGGCTCTAGATATTTGGAGCACCGATTGGTACGTTCAACGCAAAGACATCAAGCAAATGATTTGGATATTCATAGCTCGTGCTCAAAGACCTTTGCAATTTCTTATAGGGCCTTTCGGTAGTATGTCTTTGCAAACTTTTATCGCAGTTAGCATATAATATTGAACTTCACTATTTGCTGTTACAATTTTGTTTTTCAGATTCTAAAGGCCACTTATTCTTACATGATGTTATTCATCAATACCAGTGGTTAAAATGATAGTAATTCAGTTAAGGATGCACCCCAAAGTAGTAACTTATAATATAAGCATATAAGTAAGCCATAGGCAAATAAAGGACTATACAATCTGGTAAAAAATAGAAATCTCGTAATTTTTAATTCAAAAAGTAGTTAGCCGGAGGGGTAAACCACTAGTGGAAATCATTGTACATTTTTTTTGGGGATCTCCTAGGACTCCATGGAAATCACATAGGAATCCATTGGCAATCTCTGAGAATCATGTGGTAATCGCTGGGAATATCATCTCATTCTAACCCGGACATCGCATGTCATACATTTTAAACGATACAGCGTACCGGTCAATTATGTATTTGCCGTTAAGACTAAGTTTTAGGCAACATTGGGTGTTAGACAATTTGAAATAAATTTAATATCCCAACGAGTTTCCCAGTAATTGAGCCAATAACTGAGACTTCGAAGAGTTTAGAACTTGAATAAGAAGAACGAGATGAAGATTAGGTCTGTTCTCACAGAAATCACAAACCAGTCAGAGCGTTTGGTGCAAATCGCCAACAACCAGTTTTCTGACTACATTTTCAACCAATGAAATTCGCTGTAACTGGGTTTGTGATTTCTGTGAGAACAGACCTAAAGTATGACAATCTTGTAAAAATGAAAACATGAATCTTGAAACCTCTCTCGAATCCAACTCACCAAAAGAAGACAGAATTTCTTCATACATCATGGTTTAGCAATTGCGATTCGCTACAATTAAGAAATTATTCAGTGCCTAACTTTAATTTGGTTCTTTTCAGAGAAGCAGGGACGTTTGTCGATTGAGTATTTAGAGCTATGGATGGAAATGTCCCTGAGAAAGACACAAAAGAAAAGTCGGAAATCCAGGGCAATCAGAACTTGAAAAGGGAAAGTAGAATAAATACTAGGCAGGGCGAGAAGCAGAGAAGATAGCATATCTGAATCAGAATCAGAAATAAGTTTGTCGAATGAAACCTTAACTGAAGATGTGTCTGATTCAGATGAAATTCCTAGTGAAATCAAAGAAATATACATTATTTTAGATCCATATTATAGAACGTCAGATAGTGACATATTTAGGTGCCCTATTTTCGCATACAAGCCTCGAAGAGGGTTGAAAAGTACATCGATTTTGAGTAGGATGAAGGTATTTTTACGAGTGGCTCCTGGGGATAACGTATGGAAAATTCGATTTTCCGTAACAGAAATGGAAGATGTCCTCTGGTGCCCATATTTTCTCGCAAGCCCTCTTCATCAAAGGATTAATTAATTAATCCTGGCTTCGTGAAAACAAAGAAGGGGGTGTTGTGTAATATTCCGAGAAAATAGACCCATGAATCACACTGTCTTCACTGTAAAAATTTAATAATTATCAAATAATGAAAAACTTAATTTCCGGTATTTCTAAATCAGTATCGATAAATTAAAATGAAACAAATTAACGCTAACGTAATTCGACACCCAGCGTGATGTCATCCAACATCCGATCAATGATTTTTTTTTAGCAAGGCCATCGCGTACCTAATTAAATCGAATGATTCATGGCATTCTTGAACCAATGATGTTTTGACCTCGATAAATCAGGATATTGCCACATAATTATTCGATTTTTTAGACTAAAAATGATAAAAATTTCAAGGAAATTTCATCATCTTAATTGTCATGGACAGAGGAATTTGGGGGGATCGATTTAATATAAATACCGCGGTTTTAGAAGTGGAAGGCAGTTGTTAGTTGTTAGTTGTCAGTTGAGAGATGAGTTCGCAGTCCTCTCCAGTTTGAGTTAAAGTCTGTCCGGTTTCGCAAAAAGTTTCTTTTATGGCGTATGGCCTCGGGTTTAATTTGACTTAGTAAAAGTAGGAAAAATTGTGAAAGAAATAACATTTGAAATTCGTTCAACAATTATGTGCGTAAATTAAATTAAGTAATCAAAAGAATTAAATTAGATTAGTTTTGTGTTTTATGGACAAAATGTAAGTACTCTACAGTGACAAGATTTATTTTGAATATAAATGATGAACATGACTTTGTGTGTCGTTTCTTATTTAGTAGGGATATTTTAGTGGTCCGTAATAATAACATTTTGAACGGATGTGAAGTAATTGAATTTATAGAAATAGATGAGGCTGTCAGAATTGGAAGATATTTTGCTGATTTAAAATTTTGGGTTTTATGTATAATAAAATATAATTTTAGTACACCTCAATAGTTTGTTTCTCTCTCTTGCAAATAGACCCTTCCACAGATTTTAGGTAGCAGCTCCAAGTAAATAAACACCATCAATATACCGCTCGCCATTTACCATCTAAATAATTACATAGAGTACTTGGGGCGTTTTGCTACAGTTGCAGGTGGCTGAAGCTTTTGAAATAGGGGCGTAATCTTGTAAGGAAAAATCGAGATTTTGGGCGATTTTTCCACACAAGCCCATCGGAAGGATGAAAATCTACAAAGTCGGTAGCAAGCAAACATTGGCTTGAGTGCCGCAAATGAAAAATTACCTTCTAGGGTAACATAAGTAAAATCGAATTTTCCATATGTTATCCCCAGGAGCCACTCGTAAAAATACTTTCATCTTACTCAAAATCAAGGTACTTTTCAACTCTCTTCGAGGCTTGTATGCGAAAATGGGTCACCTAAATCTGTCACTATCTGACGGTCTATTATGCAGTGTAGACACGCAATGATATTCAGGACTCAACAACTATTTATACCTACAGCTAAATCGGTGTGGGTGTGGACAACCATGATAATAAAAGTTGCAAATACAGAAGTTGTGAATTTTTCAGTGTAAACGTATTTTTATAGGAGAAAAGACTGTTTATTTTGGTCATATCAATGCGAAGCTTAACAATTAGACATCGTTTTCGTAATGAAATCATCTGGAAATCGGATAATTGTAGGAAAGAATCGAGGAAATCAGGTAATCAATTGGGAATGAAATGGGAATCCCAAAAAAAAAAAAAAAAAAATGGAAATCACCTGATAATCATACAAAAATATATGAAAATCATTGGCAATCAGTCGCAATTTTTGGAATGGGACTATGTACATGATATTCATTGATCAGTGATTGTCAAATATGGAAATCATTGTACAGTTGCGGCCATTAGAATTGGCACAGACTTTTTGAACGCGCTCTGTATAGAGCCAAAACTGCTCTGACTATAACTAGTAGGTAGTCAATGGCGTATGTAATATGATGATTATGAAAGATAATAATGAAATACGACTTCAAATACAAACTCAAATATTTTCAAACAAATCACAGCCCATATATTTCCAATTTTATCACATATTTGTTCATCACAGCACAATATTACAATTCACTTCTTCTTTGTTTGAATTTTCTTGACTGAACTCGTTTTCCTCACCACTCTTCTGGGTGTTTCTTCTCTACCTTGGGCCTGTGGCGGAGTTTGCTGCCGCTGCTGAACCTATAAAATCCATCTATCGAAAAAAGATTCCTAATTAAATTTAATTGTCATACTTGTCTAGACCCTGATCCGCCAGACGGCATTGGAAGTCCTGTTGCTGCACAAATGCGTGGTGACGTTTGCTCCCCTGCACTAGCGTTGATCGAAAAGTGAGGACATGCTCTAGGAGATCCAATCTCTTGCTGTGGTTCTAGAGCTGCTCGATGGCCATGAGTTCCGGGCCTGTTAAAAATAAATTGGTTCATTTTTTGTGTCTTTTCCAATTATTTCTTTACCGTGGAGAGCATGGAGACTGCGATAACGGAGGTGGAGACTGGAATTCTTCCAAATAGGCATCATCTACAAAATATATTTACTTAACACCTAAACTTTATAATTCTGTAACAGAATTATACCCAAATATTGTGTTCTACCAGCAGCAGTTTGCATTTGCTCCCAAGGAGACAATGGCGGCGGAGATTCGAAAGACTCGAGAACATTATCAGATATATTTTGCGGAGTCATTGGCGGTGGGGACTGATAATCATCCAGAAGGAATTCATCTACAAAATATTTATTTAGAAACAAAACGCGTTTGCTCCAGTATAAAACTCTACCTAACAAATTTGGTGCTCTAGTAGCATCATGTCTTAGTTGCTGAAATGGAGACAATTGCGGGGGAGTCTCGTAAAAATCAAGATAATTATCAGATATATTTTGCGGCGTGGTCGGCATTTGCGGGGCAGGAGGATTATAACCTGACTCTTGTATCCAACGCTGTGCTTCGGCATCTTCTTGCCTCCTTATTTCTGAATCCTGAGGAGAGAACAGACCAGCAGGCCATCCTTCGCCAGCCACATACGTTTCTATAAACGTTTTAAAAGTATTTGTAACGAGTGATTGGTAGATAATAAAACATTATTACGCATTGGCTCAGGTTGTGCTACATTACATGTTCCTGTGTCGCATGCATTACCATATTCAGGGGTTGGTGTTGGAGGACCTCTAGCTGGTGTTGGAGGACGTCTAGTTGGTGTTGGAGGACGTCTGGCTGGTGTTGGAGGACGTCCAGTTGGTGTTGGAGGACGTCCAGTTGGTGTTGGAGGACGTCCAGTGGGTGTTGGAGGACGTCCGGCTGGTGTTGGAGTACGTCTAGCCGGTGTTGGAGGACGTCCGGCTGGTGTTGGAGTACGTCTAGCTGGTGTTCGAGGACGTCCAGCTGGTGTTCGAGGAGGCGATACAATTTGAGGACTGGTCATAACTGGCGAATAAGACTAAAGCAAAAATAGTTGTTTTGTTAGTACATCTATCACAGATTCAACTATAAATTCTCACCTGTCCAAATTCCATTTCCTGCCGCTCAGCTTCGCGTCTCATTGCCTCTATTCGTGCGATTTCACTTCTGTCTACTTCTTCGGCTCGAGGTGGAGAACCTGAAGTCGGAGGCGAAGTCACCTCGTCCAATTCTTGGATTAGATTCCGCACAGCGCCTTGTCGGATCCCTCTTGTTGGTAGGTATCGTCTTGGCGTTTCGCCGTAACCTCCAAAGTACATCGGTTGAGGCTAAAATAATCAAAAGTAATACTCAAAAGGAACTAAGAATAATTTATCTAATAAGACCGTTATTCCCGCTCTGCCTGCTGCCCGCTCCACATTGTCTCTTAACTCTTGTATGGATGCCGGATGTTCCAGAACTGGCACTGGCTCCAAGAAATCTCGGATATCTTGCTCAGTTGGGCCTTTAAAACATAAACATGTTTCTCAATGTGTCTATCTATACCTACAGGGTGTTCATTTTAAACCTTACCACCCCTATTCGCAATTAGGATTTTTTAGGGGATGGCTCTGGTGGCTGTGGGGTTGAAAGGGGGTGTTGTATGATACATAAACGTATTTCTAATTATTATTACCTTTTCCATATTACCTGATGTGGTTACAAGTTTTTAGATGACAATGAACCTGCGATAAAATGGAAATTTTTTTCTTCCTGATGTTACTCACAGAAATCACAAACCAGTAAGAGCGGTTTTGATAGGTGCAAATCGCCAACCACCAGTTTTCTGACTGTTTTTAACCAATGAAATTCGCTCTGATAAGTTTGTAATTTCTGTGTGAAAGAACGGTCTCTTTCTAACACATGACAAAAACAGATAGATTTTTTTTCTCGAAAACTGTGCAACCGAGTATCTCTTATGTACAATTAAAATGGGACACCCTGTACTGGGTGTTTGTTTATAACTGGAACACTCAGCAAGTTTCTTTATTATTGGAAATAAGGGGTATGTTTAAGTTTCAAAATTTCTTGGTAAATTGCAACCTTAAGCGCCAAAACGATATTTTTTGTCGTCATAGGTATACAGGGTGCGCCAAAAAGGTTTTTTTTTTTTTAAATAAACCGCACTGTGTATTTTTGTTTTCCAAATAGTGTTTGATATTTTCGTGAAGCTTATCTTCTAAGAATTTTAAAAATGCAAAAATATACAGGGCGTTCCATTTAGAAAAATGACTTTTTTGGCGCACCCTGTATACCTATGACGACAAAAAATATCGTTTTAGCGACAAAGATCGTTGCAATTTACCAAGAAATTTTCCAATTTAAACATGCCCTTTATTTTCAATAATAAAAAAGTTATCGAGTGTTCCAGTTATAAACAAACACCCTGTACAATGCAGTAGATTGGAAAAAATGTGAATGTGGCAACACCTTGAAATTTTAGGGAAAATTATAACTTCCTATTGACTACCCTGTATACAGGGTGTCCCACGGTGGATGGCGTATTAGACGTTTATGGAGAACTAAAAAGCGGATCATTTTGAAAATTTGGCAACCGGGATAAACGACCATGATCTACACTTTAAAAATATTTTTGACCATGCGGTGTTGCCGCTTCTATTCTAAACTAGTGGCAACATCACTATTTTAAATGGAACACCCCGTATGTGATTGCATATTTGGATTCTACGTAAAATTCTGAGCAGATTTCATGTGATATACCCTATACCTAAGTTCAACTGTTTTGGAAATATTGACAGTTGAAAATTGACTTTTTGCAACTTTGACAGGCTGTAATACCTGAACGGTAAATTTTAGAGGAGAACCGATTTTACATTCCTATCTTAGATTTTTATAAACTATCATTTGACACCAACTTTGAATTAAATCCATGATTAAAAATTTCAGTTAAATTTAATCTCCGGTTAAGTTCAAAGTTGGTGTCAAATGATAGTTTATCAAAATCTAAGATAGGAATGTGAAATCGGTTCTCCTCTAAAATCAACCAATGAGGTTTTACTGCCTGTCAAAGTTGCAAAAAGTCAATTTTCAACTGTCAATATTTCCAAAACAGTTGAACTTAGGTATAGGGTATATCACATGAAATCTGCTCAGAATTTTACGTAGAATCCAAATATGCAATCACATACGGGGTGTTCCATTTAAAATAGTGATGTTGCCACTAGTTTAGAATAGAAGCGGCAACACCGCATGGTCAAAAATATTTTTAAAGTGTAGATCATGGTCGTTTATCCCGGTTGCCAAATTTTCAAAATGATCCGCTTTTTAGTTCTCCATAAACGTCTAATACGCCATCCACCGTGGGACACCCTGTATATTAGGTGTAAACAGGAAAATGTTATAATCGTGAATCCTCATAGAACAAAAATTCTTGCGAACCATGTATTTCTAAAAATATATCCATTTGAATTATTACCTATACAGGGTGGTCATTTAACTTGACATTTGACAAAAATTTACGCTGTGTGCTTAGGACCACACGACAGAAAACTATTTAAAAACGTAGGTTAAATAAAGAAACATTCCAGATGCTTGACCTTTGCCGCCATATTGAATCCTGGCATTTGTGGTTTGGATCAAGGTTGTTTAAGAGAGGGAAGTTACCTGGAAAGTTGTTTGAAAGGAGTAGGGTGCCTGATTACTTTTATAAAGTTATATATCTGGGATGTCTAAACATAATGCAAATCTCCATTAGGTCCTCCTAATGACGTCATCTGTTCACCATTACCAAAAAACCTATCATTTTGGGAACAGTCTTTTATGACGTGATCTCATCTGTATGCGTGAACATAATGCAAATCTGTAGGAAGAATCACCTGATGACGTCATCTGTTTGCCATTACCTAACAACCTTTAACAAGCAATCAACATTTTGCCAACGATATCGATAATCCCAATTGCGCTCCAAGTTTTGGAAAAATAATAACTTCTATTATTGACCAACCTGCATAGTAGCGATAGCTGTGTTAACAGGAACATTTTAGCTTGACTTTTGCCGCCATATTGAATCTTGCCATTTGCGGTTTGTATCAAGGAGAAGGAGGTTGGCCTGCAAGCTTGTTTGAAAGAGGTAGGTTGCCTAATAACCTCTATGACATCATCCGCGATATGCCTAAACATAATGCAAATCTTCATTTGATCCTCCTAATGACGTCATCTGTTTACCATTACCAGACAACCTATTAACTTTAGAAACCTTGGGTTGGGTTGCCTGGATTACTTTTACGACGTGACGTCATCTGTATGCCTAAACATAATAGCTGCTTGTTTTCTAACACCTATTATCTAAGCTAACCTAAGTTGTTCTGAAATAAAGGACCGTTTTTTCTAACATCTTAGATAAGTTTATGTTAGTCGAAATTACCTTAGCTCAGCTAAGAATTTCAAAGTTAGCTAAGATAAGACAGTGTGCAGAAAAAAAGCAGCTTATGCAAATCTTTCAACCACCTGATGACGTCATCTGTTTACCAATACCAGACAACCTTTTACAGTCAACCTGCCAATGATATGGGCAAAGTTGCCGAAATTTGTTCTAAGGAGAGTCTCGATTGAATCTCAATCGCGCTATCTCTCTTTCACTCGCACTGCTGATTGTTTCACTCTCTCGCTTGGCGCTGAACTCGGCTCGAGCCGACCGAATCGTTAACAGTTCGGGAGTGACCAAGGTTTCTGAAGTTAATAGGTTGTCTGGTAAGAGGTAACTTGATGACGTCATCTGGGGTGCTTTACGGAGACTAGTATTATGTTAAGGCACCCCAGATTACGTCATAAAAGTTAACAGACTTTTTTTTTCCAAAAACGCGTCGTTTTCGAGATATTTAACTTTTTAAAGTTGAATGGAACACCGTGTATATTGAATAAAATTTAATTGGCTATTTTTCCAGTCATCAGACAGTGTTGCAAGATCGCGCAAAATTTTCCCAACTTTAAAGATTTATGGTTTATTGTGCAACAAGTGCACATTGCATTGAGATTACCAGAAAAATAAAGTAAAACTTTTTATCAAAAGAAAAAGTTACGTCGGTTGAATGCATAGCCTTGATGCGTGTGAGAGGTTATGGGAAAATGTCAAATTTAAATATGTCATTGTGTCATAATTATTTATTTACATTTTATAAATAAATAAACATCATTGTTTTTAAACAATTTGCATTTTGTGAGTGTATATTTTATAGATTTATATAAAAGTGGAATTAAAAATGTGTAAAAAGTCTTTTCCAGAAGCTGGGGTCAGGGGTAAGTTAAGTATGCTTTTCTAGAGCCTAATTTTAATTATAAAAAGTTTAAAAAACCCGCCAAATGTTATTTAAGTTGGTCTTGTAGAGGACAGTGGCGCTAGTATCGATCTGACGTCATCGCGTTGCCAGTTTCGTACCACAGAATCGGTAACTCTTACCTTGGTTTATTATACAGGGTAGGGCACGAAAAACTTTCCACCCAGAGTTTCTCAGGTGTTAGATGTTTAATCAAAAATCGCTCAGACACATCAATTTTTGTTTTTTGGGGGACACATTTTATTGGTATTTTCACCCCCTACCTGTGAACCCCTAAGTAGGGGTAACAGGTACCCCCAAGATTTCAAATGGAACGAGTGGTCGAGTGATATATCATTTGGTAGCTTTTTTCATTGAGATTATATCCTCGAAGTTTTAAGTTGCTACTATTTACCCTGCCGAAATGGCGGCATGTCAAAGTTAGGGTAAATGCGTTTTTTCGATAGTCTAAGTGCCGGTACTTTTGCTCTTATTTGACAGCCGTTAAAAATAATCAGGGGTTTGAATGTGCTCTAACTACATCATGCTTATATAGACCTTGGCCCATGCAAAACTTTGACAACGTATCAAATTCGTTAATCGAGAGCAAAAGTACCGGCCCTCAACTGTATAGTTTTTACCTGTCAAACCTATGCGTAGGTAACAGGTAAAAACCAAACAGCATTTTTCCATTGAACTTTGACAACCCGCCATTTCGACAGGTTAAATAGTAGCAACTTGAAACTTCGGGGATATAATGTTAATGAAAATAGCTATCAAATGACGTATCACTCGACCCCTCTTTTCATTTAAAATTTTGGGGGTACCTGTCACCCCCACTTAGGGGTTGACAGGTAGGGGGTGAAAATACCAATAAGATGTGTCCCCCAAAAAACAAAAACTGACGTGTTCGAGCGATTTTTAATTAATCACCCAACACCTGGGTGGAAAGTTTTTCATGCCCCACCCTGTATTTCTCTATGTAAACAACGATAAAACTCACCCTCCTTCAAATTATAGTTAACGTGTTTCAGAAATTTTTTCGAACATTTTTGATAATAGGGTGGGAAGTTTCAAAATGAACACCCTGTATAGCTAAAGAGCTCACCTGCACCAGCTGGTGGTGTTGTTATCCAGCCCTCATCAACGTTGTCCATCAAAAACGGATCCAAAAGTCCTCCTAGTGCAGGTGAAATAATTCCTTGAGCCACACTGTCCAGCATCGATTCATCTAAAAGCCCGAGAGACCGCGATTCCTCGGGAGTATAAGCTTCCCGATGAGGTCCAATACCACACGAAGGCGGCGTTAAAAGCCCTAATTCTCCAGGCGATGGCATATAGTCGAACGTCACAGCTCTAGGCGGTTGCCACTGTTCTATAGCTTGACGCTCTTGCTCTTGTCGTTCGCGTTCTATCGTCGACTCGAAATCTTCAAGAACTTGCGGTGGAGTAAAGTACGGTGAGTACTCGTCAAGTGTTTCTTCCATTATGCCTGCATCACCTTGCGGCGTAAGCATGTGCCTTCGTAAATCGACACCCACCAAATCAGGATGAATCGGTGCGCTAGCAGGAGGAACGTAAAAGCCCATTTGTTCTGGCGGTGTGAACGGATACAACCTTCCAGGCTCGCTGAATAGAAAAAAAGTTAGCAAATGTTGTCTAGGAAAATTTGAAAATGTAAGTATTACGCAGCGGGTACATGACAGGGTGCACACACGGGAGGAGATTGGTAAGTAGCCATGGGAGGGCGCAAGCCTAGGAAAATAAAATGGATTTTTTTGGATGGGAGTGGAAGAAATAAAAACTTGTCTTACGTCTTGGAGGTGTTCTATCCATTAGAGCCGCACCTTCTGGAGTGTGTTGTGGAGTTAGTTCCCACTCTCTTTCGGATTCTCTAATCATCCTGGATAAAGACAATAATTATGATTATTCTTATTTATTCCAATATCATAAGTTTACCTATTCACTTCTTCATCAGGCGATACCGGTGGAGGAAGTGGCCTTCTCTTTCTCTGAATTCTTTCCAGCTCTTTTCTACGCCGAATATGAGGGTCTTCTCTGGGTGGTGAAGGCTGTAATCAAATTTGGTTACAATCACTTTTCTTCGAATTCCAATATTTCTTACTAAATGTGGTATTAAAGGTTCATCTTCGCGCACAGCCTGGAAACCTCCAGGACGCGTTATTACTCGTCTTTGGCCTCTTGGTAAAACATCAGTACGAAGACCTGAAAATTAAACAACATAGAAAAACACAAATAAAAATGTTTGTGTGTATTACTTGGATCAAACACAGGTCGAACATTTTGGTAAATTTCTTGTCTGATCCTTCGTGGATCTAATGGGGGCGTAATCATATGTGGTCTTTGGGGGGATGGCGATCTGAAAAACATAAATGTGACTGATTGGAAGGGACACTGAATATAAATAGTTTTAATAATTCAAAACACTGGCTTATTTTTGGTAAATACCCAAAGTCCACATCGAAGAAAGGCGGAGGTGAAATCATTTCCAAGCCAAAACCGGGCGGCGGTGACTCGTACATAGGTGGAGTCACGGCATCTAATATACCCCCCGGTGAAGGGGTACAGGGTGCGTATGGTCGAGGCAAATGTTGAGCTGGAAATTGGCTAGAAAAAAATAAATCATTATGACTATCATTTATTATTTCAAATAAAATTACTCACAATGGTGGCAGGCCAAAGACACTTTGAGGTCTTGGTGGAGAATACGTTAGACGATCAACAGGACCAACTGGGCCCATTCTTGGGGGAGAACGCCTTAATAATGATTATAAATGAAGCAAAATAAAGGCTTATCTACTGAAGATTACTTACGCAGCCGCGGGACACGGTCGTGGAGGAGCCTTAAAATGTTTAAAATTAAATAGAATAGCAATTTAGGTGAGATAAATAGTTGAGCCTACCTCTCCTTGCTCCAAAAGCTCTCTCTCTAAAGCCTCAAATTCTGCCAGTTCTTCTTCTTCTGTCATTTGTCGTGGCCTTAATTAATCGGGATAATAATTATTAAGTGAAGAAAATAGAAGCTTATCTCCTCAAGATTACTTACGCAGGTTGTGGAGGAGCCTGAAAATGTTTAAAATAAATAGAATAGCAATTTAGGTGAGATAAATAGTTCAGCCTACCTCTTCTTGCTCCAAAAGCTCTCTCTCTAAAGCCTCAAATTCCGCCAGTTCTTCTTCTTCCGTCATTTGTCGTGGCCTTAATTTATCGGGATAATAATTATTGAGTAAAGAAAATGGAAGCTTTTCTCCTGAAGATTACTTACGCAGCCGCGGGACACGGTCGTGGAGGAGCCTGAAAATGTGTAAAATTAAATAAAATAGCAATTAAGTTGAGATCAATAGTTGAACATACCTCTTGCTCTAAGAACTCTCTCTCTAAAGCCTCAAATTCCGCCAGTTCTTCTTCTTCTGTTATTTGTCGTGGTTGTTGAAAATATTCTGCTTCTTCTCGCTCTCGCGATATCACATTTTGTTCAATTTCATCAAGTCTTTGTTGCTCTTGCATTCGTTCAAAATATTCAGCTTCTTCGCGCTCTCGCGCTATGACATTCTGTTCTATTTCATCAAATCTCATTCGTGCCTGCTGTTGTTGCGTCAGTTGAATCTGTGGTCTTAAAATCCCATAATAATAAGTTCTATTCGAAAAAAGGGTTTTAGCCGCATACCTCATTTGTGGCTGAGGTCTATCAAACAAGCGCAAATCTCGTATGGTGTCTCGGTAGGCGTCACCACCGCTACAAGGTTCACATGGAGCTGAAGAATTTTTTAAAAGAACATTGGTTTATGAAAATCACATATTTGCTCCAATGCATCAAGCACTAGAAATTTGATTTCTGCTTCTTGTTGGAACAAACACTTACATCCCATTTCTTCTTGCAGTCGATCCATTTGTTCGAACCCTGTTTCAGATCTTCTGGGTAACCTTTTCCAGCGACCTTGTACCACAATACTTCGTCTCATGCTGAATAATTTTAAAAACAAATAAACAATAATATTATAGTAACAAATTGATTAATAACGTATTTACCCGGGAAAAGCAACTTCATGTTGTTGAAGTAAATCCATGAGTTCCGGATCTGAAAAAATAAACTTAAAATTCAAACTTTAAATGAAAATCCGAGATATTGCCTGGCGTATCTCTAGCTGCGGGTCCAGCTTCTTGCGTTTGTTGCGCCACAATCTCTCGTAATCTTTCATCTTGTAGTTTCTTTTTTCGCTTTTTCTTAGCCTGTTCTGCTTTCTCTTTCTTCTTTTGGACCTAATAATGCTCAAAAATTAGCACCTACCTTAATTCACTTACATAGAATTACCTCTAATTCAGCTGCTTTCTGATCAGCAAGCGCCTTTTTTCTCAACATCGTGGACTTGGTTTCTTTCAATTGTATCTTCTTGAAAAGTTTCGATGGTCGTCCAGGTTCAGCGACTGCGAAAGAATATTCCCAAATATAAAACACAAATTTACGTATATGCAAATTGCTAAAGTACCACTACGAGTAGGTGCAGTTTTAACAGGAGCAGCTTGTGGTACTGAAGCTCTACCTGTCTCATCTGGTGTGGCCCACTCTGGCCCATACTGTGGAAGTGCCTGTTGTTGCGGTGTCCCTGGAGGTGGTCTGATAAGGCTCTCCGGCCCCGTTGCTGGTGGTCTAAGACCAGAAGGACGAAGTGGTGTTCCTGAGGGTGGTCTAATACCAGAAGGACGAAGTGGTGTTCCTGAGGGTGGTCTAATACCAGAAGGACGAATTGGTAATCCTGACGGTGGTCTAATACCAGAAGGACGAATTGGTAATCCTGAGGGTGGTCTAATACCAGAAGGACGAAGTAGTCCTCCTGAGGGTGGTCTAATACCAGAAGGTGGAGGTTGCCTCACTGGAACACCTCCAGTGCAAGGTTCGCAAGGCAAGTCGTATCGCTAAAAATGATTGACAAATGTTACATTTAATCTAGCGTTGCCGATTGAGTCGCTCACCTCAAGCGCACTCATAAAGTCTTGAGCTGATTGTTCCACATCTGGATAGTAAGTTGCCGGATGTTGAGGCGGTGACATTGCGAGAATCTAAAATGAGAGAAATCAATCAACTTTATGTGCTGTACGCATCCAAAAACCTACATCTCGAATATTATCTGTGTAAGGCCTATACTCTATCGGCGACTGCGGTCTGGGAGATGGATAATCTCTGGGCAGGGGCTCGTAATATTTGGGTACCTTTACTCTAACAGGTTGGTCACTGAAACGGGGATAGGGGTGACGATCTTCGAATGTTCTGTCGCGCATATGAGCTATATTGTCTGCGTATTCCGGTATACGATCCATTGGTTGGAATGCTCTCACGCTTTCTCTGTGTATATAACGTCCAGGCCCTGGAAAAAGAGAGACCCAACGTTTATGATGTTTGTTTAACTGTATGATTGGGTTTTATTTCTTCAAACCCTAAGGATTCTGATATATAACTAAACAATGTTCACTACCTCTTCCAAAAGGTGTCCTTTGAGATATTTGAGCGTGGAGATGATCCGGTACTACTTGGTGTTGTTTGATTTCATCCCACGTAGGTAATTGTTCAGGAGTAGCTGTCGGTAGCACTTCTCTTGGGAAGTAAAGCTGCCCTTCCTGTAGGAGCGGTGGAGGTGTCGGTGGCATATCAAGAGGAGGAGATTCAGCATCTTCAATAATCATTTTAAACTAAATCTTATGCATTGTCACTAGTTTTACCTAAAGTTGGTGGGAAATCGAACCGGTGCATCGGAGAACATACAGGAGAAGGAGAATATCGAATGGGCGATTCTTCAGCGGGCATTGTTGGTATGCGACCTACAAAAAATTTCCGGTTTTCTGGAATGTATGCGTAAACAGTTCTTACCTGGTGTATCAAACAATCTTCTGGGAATCATAAGAGGATCTCCACGTCCAGGTGTTCCACACGGTGGTAACCGTTGTGCTGGTTCCCCATAAGGACTTGGCACATAACGGTCTCCCTTGGGTGTCGTTGGAGAAGGCGGGCGTTTTCCCCTTTTGACGATTCTTCTAGCCGGTTGGAATCTTGGACTCCGCACTGGAGATGGTGAAGGGGTATAGTCGCTCGGACATACTGGGGGTGTAAAACCAGTTCGCCTACATTAAACAAGATATTTATGAAATAGTTTTTTTTTATATAGATTAGTTTTCACCGTCGAGATGGTCCAGCGACTCCTTCGGGAGTCGTCCATAGCTGTAAAGGAGGCTGAGGAGGAACATACTAAAAAAAAAAATTATTAATATATCAAGCACATTTTTTTTAAATTAAAACTTCTTACCGGTGGTGGTCTTGGGGGTGGTGAAACGACTTTCCTTCTATCCAATACTGGCGATGGTGACTAAATCAAAATGCATAGAGCAATAGGTTTGTTCGAACTTAGCTCAGAATCAGTTCTGAATTGAACTGCGCCTGCGCATTTGTTTATAAATGTCCGTTATGAACAAATGCGCAAGCGCAGTTCAGTTCAGAACTGGTTCTGAACTAAGTCCGAACAAACATAATATATTGTAATGACCCGGGAAAAATAGACCCGTAATTTACAATGTCTTAACAGTAAAAATTATATGTAATCAAATAATCAAAAATTGAATTTCCAGTATTTCAAATCAGTATCAATAAAACTGGAAAATGATGAGACAAATTAGCGTTCACCCCAAATTAATTAAAATATTTAAAATGCGTTCAATTTCTAATAGAAGTTAGTTGAACTCATAAATCAAAACCCGGAAAAGATAAAATACAAGTAGTTCGACGGTCGAAATTTGATCGTGGCGCCATCTAAGACAAGGCTTCAACACTAAACCGCAATTTTTGCTGTAATTTAGTGATTGACCATCTAATCGGCCGACCAAAATTCAGTTCGTGGGAAAACCCAGAATAGGGAAAACAAGTTTTCTCCTATTATCCACTGATGAGAAAATTTTGGATTGATTTTCTCTGCTTTTCCATCCATAGACGCGTTTCGACCTATCGGGTCTCATCAGCATGGATAGGAAAAGCAAAGATAACCAATCCAAGTTTTGTGCCTGTAGGCAAAATACAAATAGTACGACGGTCGTAATTTGATCGTGGCGCCATCTAAGACAAGGCTTCAACACTAAACCGCAATTTTTGATGTAATTTAGTGATTGACCATCTAATCGGCCGACCAAAATTCAGTTCGTGGGAAAACCTAGAATAGGGAAAACAAGTTTTCTCCTATTATCCACTGACGAGAAAATTTTGGATTGATTTTCTCTGCTTTTCCATCCATCGACGCGTTTCGACCTCTCAGGTCTCATCAGCATGGCTAGGAAAAGCAAAGAAAACCAATCCAAGTTTTGTGCCCGTGGGCAAAATACAAATAGTACGACGGTCGAAATTTGATCGTGGCGCCATCTAAGACAAGGCTTCAACACTAAACAGCAATTTTTGCTGTAATTTAGTGATTGACCATCTAATCGGCCGACCAAAATTCAGTTCGTGGGAAAACCCAGAATAGGGAAAACAAGTTTTCTCCTATTATCCACTGATGAGAAAATTTTGGATTGATTTTCTCAGCTTTTCCATATCAGGTCTCATCAGCATGCTTTTCCTAGCCATGCTGATGAGACCTGATAGGTCGAAACGCGTTTATGGATGGAAAAGCAGAGAAAATCAATCCAAAATTTTCTCATCAATAAAATACAAGGTAAGGTTTCTAATTAAATTAGGTCACAACATGACAGAAATTTCAAAAGATGGTATAATTTATTGCCGGCACGAGTGTCGAATGCTGAATTAAAGTGTCCTCTACATTCTTTCCCATTTCATTGACTCTAAATAATCACACAGTTTCAACACAGATTTCGTCATCATCCATGAATGAGCAAGTTATTTTTTTTTGGAATAATATCTAGGTCGAATGTAAGTACTCTAGTGACATGTTTTAATTTTGACTTTATCAATGATTGATATGACTATGAAGTGAATTGACTATGAAACTTTATTGCATAAATATTAACTTGAGTGAATTGACTATGAATATTTTTATGCTTAGTAGTATAGATAGAAAAATATTATTCAAAGACGGTTTATTGAAATTAATTTTACTGAAGAAATTGGATAATCAAATTGACTGTTTTGTTCCGTTTAGCAAATGATTAGTTAAATATTTTGATGAATGAAGATAAAATGTTCATTGTTTTGATAGTATTTACTCTGGCTAAGTACAGGGTGTTTCCTTATATTTTGACCCTTACGTAAAGCTTTAGCTATACGAGGTGGAAAAAAACTTTGAATATAAAAGTTGCTCGCAATTTACCATCTAACGTAAATAATAGAGTACTTGGCGCGGATGCTACAATATAAACATTTTAAATGATGTCATTAACTTACCCATGGTGGTCTTGGAGGCGTAACTGTCCGTAAAAGAGAGTCTTGTTGTCGGGCCATTTCTTGGATTCTAGCAGCAGCTTCCTGAGCAGACACATCTTCCATGGTAAGTATGGGTTCGTCTGCTTGTCGGCCAGGAGAACCTGCTTGCAAGTCTCGTTCCATTTGTTCAAACTCTTCCAATTCTAGAATAAATAAACATGATTATGTAGAAGTATGATGCACCTTTGGAGTGTTTACTTACCTGCTGGACTGCGAGAAGGGCTCTATAAAAATTAAAAAAGGTAAACAGTTTGTAAAAAAATTAGAAAAACATCTTACACAAGGTCTACAAGGAGTACCAAATAGCTGTGTTTGTCTTAATGCTTGTCCAGGTCGTGAAATGGGAGTTACTTGAAGTGGAGCAGGAGGGCGCCGTCTTGTAGGTGTCAAAGCACGCTCATCCCTAGGTGACTAAACCACGATTTAATAAACTTATAAAAAAAATTATTTGTATTACTTCTAACAAATCTCCGAAAGCCTCTGGTATCTCTTCGTGTTCGATTAGCCCTTGATCCGGATAAGCAAGCGGATCAAAAGGATCGACCAAAGGAGGTTCGGGAGTGTAATAGTGTAATGGTCTTTTTTCAGGCCCGTATTGCTTTTGTGGAGTTTGTATACGTGGACGCGGAGTGTCATACCAGCCTGGTCTAGGAATAGGACGTTGACGTATCGGTGTTATAGGTGCTGATATTCCAGGAAAAAATGGCATTGGAGGTGGGGTTGGTACGCCACGCGGAGGGGATGGGCTGTCGCGGATTGGACTAGGACCTAAAACGGAAGTTTCGTTCCTGAAATTGTTGGGAAATATTTTTTGATACCTGGTGAAGGTGTTCGTGGTCGAAGCCATGGCGGACGAGGTCGTCTATTTGGTGGTCTACGTGGTATGGGTAGAGGTCTGAAATTGTCAAATATAGCCCGGTCAGCCTCCACATCTCCTCCAAGAACTAGATCGTCAGACATTCCCGAAGTTGAGATCAATCCTAAGCTTTCTGGATATAAACAAAATTTTAATATTTTTCTACATGAGAGAGTCAAAAGTCGCCTTACCATCAGCAGTATGATAGCTTTGGCCAGGGGATGCCGACATGAATGACAAATCACCACCTGGAGGTGTCTACAAAGTGTAAATTGATTTTGAAAATATTTTACAAAAGACAATGGTCAGATGGATTTACGTAAAATCCTTACCACCTTACGTAAATCCAATGTTATAGTAGTTTTCATTAAATACTTACCACATCATCAAGATTTTCTCCAATTTGAGTTGCTATATAGAAAAATTACTCTGGAGTTTCGTTAAATTAATATAAAATACAAACCATCGAAAAGATGATCTTCGGTAAAAATATTTGAGGCTTCGCCAATAATTTGGTTTGCTATTGGTGAACCAAACAGAACTGGTGGGAAACGTTCATCTGAAAATATGTAACTTATGAACAATAATATCTCGGTAAGTGCAAATGTATTACGTTCTGGAACCCTTTCGCCTGGTGGCGATTGAAGAACACTGGCTGGAACTGCCCAATAATTCACAGTTATTGGTAATTAAGTGCTGCTTAACCAACTATTATACTTACGCAATCCTAAAGAAGAATCATCGCCTGAAAAAACGGAATATTGTGCATAAACCATTAAAAAAATTTAATATTACCTCCTGACGATTCTAAGACACTGGCCGGAACTGCATATAAATTACAATTGGTAATTAGGTGGTGATACTATTATAAGTAATTAGGTACTTACGCAATCCTAAAGAAGAATCTTCGCCTGGAAAAGCAAAATAATGAACTCCAAAACTATTATAATCTTATAAATATAATGTATTACCTGACTCTTGGAACGACCTACAATAAAAAAAATTGAAAATTTAAATAAATAATATCGAAAATTAACTAACGCTCACATCATCATATCGTGTTGTTCTTGTTGGGTCATATGAGGTGGACTTTCTGCTGGCATGAAAGGCGACATGCCGCCCAGGTCAAATTGATCCATTACACGATCTAGAAAAATACAGTCTAGGTGATTATTTACTAAAAAAATCAGCTGAATTTTGAATGTAACAATTCACATAGAATATATTCCTGAAAATATGTGTTCACTTAAGTTGCACTGAAGAGAACTTATGAGTTGGAATGAGAAAGAGATTCATTGTCTTACAGAGCAACAAGTACATCTTTATAAGGTGATAACTTGGTGGGCTTAAATGCTTGTTGTGTGTCTTCTTCCCGAAATGTTAAATGTTGATATGGATGAAAAATTTTCTTGCCTCGTCTAGGATTTGAATCCAGGACGCTCCAGTGCAATGCTCTACCAACTGAGCTACCGAAACCTGTTTCATTTCTACCTTGTCGATCAAGTCTGTAACGAAGTAAGAGGGGGGGGGGTGTGTAACGAAGTTTCAGTATTTTTCATAAAATAAGTGCGCCTCCCGCTTCGACTTAATTTAATTATTAATTGCGTGACTTAATTTTATAAATTCACGGCGGTATTAATTACAATCCTCTTTATATTATTCCAGTTTCGGCCAGTATCAGCTAATTTGCATATTTCCCTGTACCTCGCCGCGTTCCTGACCCATATTCTCAGCTATAAATTGGGCAAAATTTGCTGGTAAAAGGAATCTTCCACCGGTCTTCCACCTCTAAACCAGAAGGTAAAAATCAATTAGGTATATAAGCTTTTCGCCCGGTACCTTGGACGGCTAAACTTTTTCTGCAATAGGGGTTTCGCCCGGTACCCTGGACGGGTAGTCTCTATTGCTCTTAGAACTTCGCCCGGTACCCTGGACGGGTAGTTCTGTATGAGAGATTTTCGACTGGAACCTAGGACAGGTATTTCTCCCCGAAGTTTATATGGTATCTCTAATCCGTTAAATGCATGATTCGAGAACTGACGCCTATCTAGTTGCAGGTGGTGTCCGTACATTTGCTTGGGTCACCGGAGTTTGTTTTACCGCTTTACTTACCACAGCGTTAACGTTACCGGAACTTTTAGAGCTACCGGAAGGCTGACCGTTCCGTTATCGCTACCGTTAACTTTTCCGGACACGCTTTTCACCGCCCGCATGGTCAAGCTTTTGCCGCACGCGCATAATTTTTCATTCATTTAATTATCTCTCTCTCACGCATCCCCGTTCATTCTTTCACAGGGTTAATTAAGAGTTTTTCTTGTAAATATTTTCCGGTAATACAGAGTGTTATATTTATTTAAATTTATCGACTGTTGCCTATTGCTTTTCCCCAAACCAAGGTTTTCAGAAAATTTTACATTTTTTCTCCACTGTAACAAGCAACCTGGTGCACGTGGGCCCTCAACCACTTTAATCCTGAGGGTGGCGCCCGAGCCAAACCGTTAGATAAACCGACTTACACTGGACCTGTGTTGATTATGCAACAAAAGCGTTTTACAGAATTGGCGCCCGAGCAGGGACCTCAAATACTTTCGCTTGCCGTAGAAGTTTAACCATACTAGGACTGCTCACCATATCATGCCAGAAAGCATCCGCAACAATGGAAATCCACCGGTTACCAGCACACCGAATACCAGTGCATCCACCGTGGTTACAACCAGTTCAGTAAATCTACCCGGGAATGTACCAATAACTACGTACCCCGTTTGGTACGACCCCAACGACGGCCGTGTGAGTTGGGTGTATCTATTGAAGAAAGACGAACTGATTCCTGAATTACAAAAGCTTGGACTGGATACTACAGGTACCGTTGACATATTGAAAAGCCGACTGGTTACATTCTATCGCCAGGGAAAGGCCTTCCGACATCACAGACCGTGTCCAGCATGTGGCTGCCCCTACGGCCAGAGGCATGAATTAGACTACTACATGAGAAGTCAGAATGGATTGGGCCGACGTCCGGGATGTATCCATAGAGTTTTTATTTTATGTTATTTTCAATTTATTTTTAATTTCTTTTTGTTTTTAGGTATGGGTTTGGCGAGAGAGAGAAGTTTATTTTTGAATATGATTTATTTTTAATTTCAGGTACCGGGATGGGCTAGCTGACATTGAGTGGGAGGCTAGAAAAATATTTGGGTAAATATGTTTTTTTAAAGAAGAGGGGGTGTGTAACGAAGTTTCAGTATTTTTCATGAAATAAGTGCGCCTCCCGCTTCGACTTAATTTAATTATTAATTGCGTGACCTAATTTTATAAATTCACGGCGGTATTAATAAAAATCCTCTTATATTAATATTAAATACATTATCATGATTTCGCGTGACCTCGCCTGGAATCTACCGATCCCAGTAGAGTTTCGGCCAGTATCAGCTAATTTGCATATTTCCTTGTACCCCGCCGCGTCCCTGACCCATATTTTCGGCTATAAATTGGGCAGAATTTGCTGGTAAAAGGAATCTTCCACCTCTAAACCAGAAGGTAAAAATCAATTAGGTATATAAGCTTCACTTAAGATTTTCGCCCGGTACCTTGGACGGATAAATCTTTTCCTGCAATAGGGGTTTCGCCCGGTACCCTGAACGAGTAGTCTCTATTTCTCTTAGAACTTCGCCCGGTACCCTGGACGGGTAGTTCTGTATGAGAGATTTTCGCCTGGAACCTAGGACAGGTATTTTTCTCCGATGCTTATATGATATCTCTAATCCGTTAAATGCATGATTCGAGAACTGACGCTTATCTAGTTGCAGGTGGTGTCCGTACATTTGCTTGGGTCACCGGAGTTTGTTTTACCGATTTATTGCAATTTAACACTTGCCATTAGCGTTAATGTTACCGGAAATTTTAGAGCTACCGGAAGGCTGACCGTTCCGTTATCGCTACCGTTAATTTTTACGGTGACGCTTTTACCGCACGCACATAATTTTTCACTCATTTGATTATCTCTCTCTCTCACTCTCTCACGCATCCCCGTTCATTCTTTCACGGGGTTAATTAAGGGTTTTTTCCTGTAAATATTTTCCGGTAATACAGAGTGTTATATTTATTTAAATTTATCGACTGTTGTCTATTGCTTTTTCCCAAACCAAGATTTTCAGAAAATTTTACAGAGCAAGCGTCTATGACCCCTGGATTACCGTTTCTCCACTGTAACAAGCTACCTGGTGCACGTGGGCCCTCAACCACTTTAATCCTGAGGGTGGCGCCCGAGGCAAACCGTTAGATAAACCGACTTACACTGAACCCGTGTTGATTACGCAACAAAAGCGATTTACAAGTCTTTCATCAATTTTAAATTGTTAGTTGTAAAGACCAACGGCAACCTTCGGCAGTTACCGTTGGTATGAGAGTGAGTTAGAAGGTATAAGAAGAACATATTCACAATTAATGGTTTTTGGAATCCATTATCCCTTCAACCACGGATATGTCGTCAACATATAGCGACATCAGCAGGCACCGGGATGAGACGTCCAACCATCAATATCAAGCCAATAATTTTACAATTTTTTAGAAGTTTCATCGTCAGTTATTTAATTTACAGTGTGTGCTAAAAATTATAAATAAGTACTTACCAGGCGTCCGCATCATTTGTCTCGGTGGTGACTCAACCATTTGTTGCTGTGGTGTTCTCAAAAGTTGCTCTTGTTCCCAGGCTCTTTCTAAAAAAAATCACTACATAATAAAACCGTCAATTTCGGGTTCATGCCTAAATTACGTCTTGCTCTATCCGCATCACCAGGTGAAAATGAAACTGCTCGAGCTGGAGAAGGGCTACGATGTGGCAAAGCAGTTCCTTGCCCAAATTTTTCACGTTCTTCCATTTCTCGAAACTCTCTTTCGTGCTACAGTGCAAAAAGTAAATCAATAAAATACAAACAAAAAAATAAGCTTACCGCCTCAAAAGAGTCTTCCCTTTCACGATCTTCCATTTCTTGAAACTCTCTTTCGTGCTGCAGCGCAAAAAGTAAATCAATAAAATACAAAACAAAAACAAATTAGCTAACCTGCTCAAAAGAGTCATCCATTCCAACTCTTTCAACTTGTTCGTATACCCTGGAAATATTCGGGTCTTTGTCAGTTCTTGGAGAAGGTGATCTTCTTTGAGGACTTTTGGTTTTACTTTTTTTACCTGAACTACTGGGTCTTGGCGCACGTAATGGCGAAGCCCTGATAAATAAACAAATAATTATTATCCATCAGACAAATGATTCAAATTACCTGTGTCTTAAAAGTGCATCATCTTCACCATCAAATGCGGTTTCAGGCGATTTCATTCTTCTAGGGCTGGGGCTCCTTTGAGGTGTAGTCACTGGAATACCCGAAGCGATCGCCGGTGAAGCTGCTCTGGCTTCTTCGCTAGCTGCGGACTCATATAATTCGTCTTGGATATCGTACATTTCGTCAACTAATAATTCGACTGCGTTCTCATCCGCTTCCACTCCAGTTTCGTAGACAGTTGCCGCTAAATCAGCTTCAGCTTCGCGAATCATGGCTTCCAAGTCCAGATCCGCGTAGGGCGTGTAAGCTATTTCTTCGATAGGCAGATCTTCTTCTAGACCGGGCATCATTTCTTCATCTTCGATTCTTTGAAGTTCATGGTCTATATTTTCTTCAATGGGGAGCAAATCCTGCCATGTTAAACCGGCATCCTCTAGTTCTTTTTCTGTCCAGTCAGCGTATTCTTCTGGTATATTAGCTGGTCTTGGTCCGAGGCCGCCTTTTTTTGGACCTTTCTTTTTCATTCCTTTCACTGGAATTTTTGGTTGCTTTAGGCTTTTTGGAGCTTTTATTGCGCTTTTCGGGCGTTTTTTCATTTTCCCACGGCTAAATTCGGACACCGTGTCCAGCATATCTTTGGCTTTGCTGGCAACAGTTTCTTGCGCTTCTTCAGTAACGGACTCTGCGTCCTCCTCATCTTGGATCAATTTTGAGACTTCTTTATCCAAAGCTTTAGCAGTGTCCGAAGGTTCTTCAATATGTCCAATATCGGTAGTCTCGCGTACTTCAAGCAAGTTAGTACCCCACGTGGGGGTGGGTCTATCTTCGGTGGAACGCCTGACTTCGCCAATAGGATGAGTTGGTGGCGATGTTCCAAATTTCTGTGGACGACGCCTTCTCTTTTGATCTGGTGATGGAGTTTTGTCTTGAGGTTGTAGACAATCGGCAACTGCTGCGCCTTCTTCGACCTGTGGAGCCGAGGCAGTACCCTTGGGAGTGCAAACGCAGATTGATGTAACTCCAGCTGGTGGAGCGGTTATGCTAGTGTCAATAGAACTTTTGGTACCTAAGTAATTGTTAGATGAATAGTTGAAATTTAGTGGTTAGAATAATACCTTTTGGTAGTATGGCCTTTTCAGCTCTTTGCCATTTATTGACGGGTTGCTTGGATATGGCGTAATAAGCGTGAACTCCAAAGTTTGGAATATCCTGACATGCGACGTATTCGGTTAGATCTGGAGAGCAATCGGTTGTATAGGCTGGAAAATTTTTCATGTCTCCCATCATTTCCTTTCTGATGGTAGCTTTGCGCTCGTTGGCTTCTTGTTCCAGAAGGTTCCGAGCAAATTCATTAAGCTGAAAAAAGTATGTTAGCTGAAAAATGCAAATCGAACAAGCTTCTTACGTCGATTTCTTCAGGTAAATCTTCCAGAAATTCATAGGATGAGGGGTTGTCGGAAAATATTCCGGTAAGTCTGCGTCTTTGGAGACAGAAAAGGAGTAGCTTGAGGTAGCTTGTACGTAGCTTCTCAGTGCCAACGGCTTCTTGTCCGAATTTTCTGATCCATCCTGCTGCTAGGATTCGATCTACAACCGAAACAGTTTATTTTTGGTTTAATTATCTTATGATCGAGAGCTTTACTAGGGAGTTGGGTGAGAAAATAAGAATCCTACCTTTGGACTTGGGAAGGTTCAGCACAAGCGGTTTCGCTATCGTGGCGTAGAATTGAAATTCGTTTTTAACAAGCTCCTCCATATTTCACCATTAATTTAGCAAACACAATTTTAATTGTTTAAACTGGAAAATTTTGTGATTTATAAGTTACAGGCATGACTTTCGCCTGCGGTAATTTTGACAGGAGAAATTGACAAATATTTAATTTTATTGATGGTGTTTAATTTTGCATGCTTATTTGACAGAAAAGGACGTTCTAGATTTTAGGAAATCCTTTTAAAAACACTGAATAATAGCTATTCAGACTGTGTGCCTGAAGATTACATTTGCTCAACTGCGGCTTGAGTTAAGCAGCGGGACGGTATGGACTTTTTGGGATATTTACTGTCAGAGTTGCACTCTCTGCTCTGATTTTCCAATGGAAGTGATGCTGCTAATGGCTATGGAATGATGATGAATATTTCGCCATACTGTGTTGTCCAACTCTGCAATTAAATTCTTCTCGTCGTTTTCCAACTCTGTCAGGCTCTCAGTTAGTCTGAAAACTGACTCGAAGGGTAGATTCTGAAGGTGCTTCACACTGACTGTACTATTTATTACTATAGGGACTCTTTTGAAGTAGCTGCCCAATACTGAAATGGTAGTGCTTCATTTTGGGAGTTAAAATATTCTGTTTTGTTTTGATGATGCACTCCTGAGAAATTTGAATAATGCCTGTTGTATTTATTGCAACATCTTCCCGCATGCCGTCACAAATGACAGATATATGGTTGTTGAGGAATCCGTAATAAACATCCATGTGTTGGGTGCGCAGAGCTCCTTCCATATGATGCTTTGAATATTGTTCATTTGAATCTTGCAATGCCTTGATTCCGGTCGTTCATAAATTTCGTCAATGATGTATGACGGATTTCTCTCTATGTTAGTAGATAAACAACAAGAGTTCTACAGCGGAAGTGACGTCACACTCGTTCTGGGGCCCACGCCCGTGATCAGAAAAGCCCTGAAATTTGTGCCACGTACCTAGAACTTGAAACCTGAAATTTGGTACCCCATAACTCGTGACTTGTAACAAGATCCATCGTACTGGGCCCCCATTTTCCGTAGCCCCCATTTTTATAAACTAAAATATGGCCACGATCAGACAATAATAATTCATGTCTCGTTACCTACCAGTTATTTCAATGCGACATCATCATTCGAAATTTGGTTTCACGCAGCCGCCGCCAAGACCCAAACCATAGGGCCCCATTTTTCGGCAAGCCCCAAATATTATTTTTAAATATTTATAATTTCTGCCGCTGGTAAGAAGTTTTGCGAACTTGCTTAATTTATTCGAAATCCCATTATGTCATTAACAAAAACCGCATTTCCTGGCAATAATAATTATTGTTGTTATTCATTCATTCAAAGTCAAAGTTTAGTCCAGACTGAAACTGGAGAGCAGATAAAGTGGTGATCATATTCAGTCATCATTGCTGCAAATCGCGTTTTTGGAGTTCGAAGTATACATATGAGTGTTGTAATCAATCGCAATATATCCATCTGGAAGGTTCAGAGGTACCATTTCCAGACTCTAAAGGTACTGGTGTGGCTTGTATCAACTCGAATTCAGTAAAATCTACAATGGGGAAATATTCAAATATCTGAATGTGTGTCTTATTGGCAGTCAACTTTGTCGTTGTGATTGCGGATGCGACAATCTTCAGATTACTTAGATACTGGTTTGTTCAATGATAGAGTGCACATACACTGATAAGATTAAATCGTATATGGTTCCTCTGTTGAAATGTATCTATATCTAGTAATTTATCGTAGTATTCCCTGATTTCGCTATTTTGCAAGGGCTGAAATCATAAACTTGGTTTGATGACTGGATGTTTTGATTAACTGTTCTGATTTTCATTTGGTGCATCTATGTCTTAACACACTTCATCATTGACGCTAAAGACTGCGGTTAAGAATTTTCTAAATAATCCAATTTTCCTTCTTTAGTGATGGACGCTGTTGAAAGTGCCATATACCCACTTGGTGTGATTTTCCAATTCTTCTCGAAGATCCGATATGCTCTACGTATATTCCATGATGAGGGTAGTTAATTCTGAATCTGGTTTCTGATGTGATAGTGGGAATAAGCATGAGGAACGCTAGAAGGAGATGTAGTAATTGCGATTTGGATTATGTCTGGGTTCTAGCGTTTCCAGTTATTGGCGTTAGGTTACTTATTGCTGAGTAGTTTGTAATTTCTGAAGCTGTGAGGCTCTCGTCTTTTTATTTCGGGATTGGAATTAGCTTACGGATCGATTTTTCCGTTACGGTTCCTCCTGCTTTCTTTATTGTACCTAATATACTGATTCCGATTCACGTTTTCTTCTTTTAGTAGGACCATGGTGTCTACTCGTAAGTTTTCAATTTGGCTTTTCCCTTTGTATTGCTGCTGTAGTCTTGCAAAGTATTCTGTAGCATGCCAGAGGCTTTTCTTTAATTTTTGGATGAGTCTCCATCTTTGAGATAAGCTGCTGATCTCTGTAGCAGAGCTGGGCAAAGCCCTCAGTAAAAGGGCTTGAAGCACTAAGCCCTTAGCCCTCTATCAAAGTGCTTCAATTTCAAGCACAAATTCCTTTTTATTTTCAAAAGTGCTTCACAAGCACAAAGCCCTCAAAGTGCTTTGGGCTTGACAAGCACAAAGCCCTCAAAGTGATTTGAAAAGTGCTTGAAGCACATCAAAAGTGCTTGGGGTGCCTTGAAAAGGGCTTCAAGCTCTTTAAATGTGCTTCAAGCTCTATAAATGTGCCTAAAGCACTTTGAATTTGTAATAAAATTCTCAAAGTGGCATAAGCTACCGCGTACACTCATCACGCAGAATTGGTATAGTAGAGACGAACTTTACATTTCACAGAGTAGCAGTAGTATGTTTTTTTTTGAGATGTAGTTCTGGGGTACTTGGGGTACTACATGGTAATTCAATTTTAAGGTTTTCAAAATGTTCAATGGGGAAAAGTGGAAAAAATCCAGTGATAAAGTTAAATAGGGTACCAATATAAATTAATTATTTATTTGAATAATAAGTTCATTCATCTTTTTTTAAATTCCATTATAAGCTCAAACCCAAAACCTCCATTGTTAAGAGAGAAAAGACATAAGACGGTTCAAGTTCAAATAATAGAAAAAAAAATTAAGGGACAAAACACGATCGAAAATTTTTAAGTGGGGGATAGGATGAATGATGGTCAATTCAAATTCCTTTCAAAGTGCTTCAAGCCCTTTTAAAGTGCTTCAAGCCCTTTCAAAGTGCTTCAAGCTCCCAAAAGTGCTTCAAGCCCTCTAAAAGTAATTGAAGCTCATTGAAAGGGCTTGAATTACTTTTTTCAATTACAAATTACCAAGCACTTTTCTAAAGTAATTGACTTTGCAAGCCCCAATTACAAATCTATAAAAGGGCTTGAAGCACAGGGCTTTCAAGCCCTCAAAGTGCTTCAAGCACTTTCGCAAGCACAAAGCACTCAAGCCCTGCCCAGCTCTGCTCTGTAGTCCAGCTCTGGTCTAACAACTACTCTCTTCCTATTAGGAAGTGGCCAGGCGTTAACACACTGATGTCGTCTGTATCTTCTGTCAACGGACAAAGTGGTCTCGAGTTCAAACAAGCTTCGTAAAAGTTGTGAGTTCTTCATATGTTAGGGTGCACTCTCCAATGATTCGCTTCATATGGTATTCAATTAATTCGACCCCTTATTCCCATATTCCTCCAAAATGTGGTTTGTATCTCCGGAATTGAATTTTTATGTATAATTCGTTGTGTAACAAACAGACCTTGAGACGCCCCTGGATCGTCTAGATAATTGTCAAATTGTTCTCATTCATGAGAAAACGCACAGAATCTTTTATAGTAAATTTTGTTATTCAGTCAATATATACGTGCCTAGTTATTTAAAAGGGGTGAGATTTCATTCTGCTTTCCTGGAACCCACTTAGAACTTTTACACTGGTGCCCAACGTGAGGCCAGGAAGCTGTTGTGATTTCTTATTTGGAAAGGTGCGTCTACCGGGTCCTTGGACACTTCGTGGACAAAAGTGGCCGGTTCCGAAAGACATTTCGGCTAAAAGTGAGTGATTGCGGATTTTCGACACTTTGTGGACAAAAGTGGCCGGTTCTAAGGAACTTTTCGGTTTCAAAGTATTGGCTTAGCTTCACAAACTGTGAGTAAGTTTAAATCCAACCATACGTCAGAAGGTACAATGCATAATTTACGTTCTCACTCTCGCTCCCAGTCCCGTCAAAATATTTTAGATCCAACTATGGCGGTAACGTTGACAGACGAACAATTCACCCAGTTATTGGCTAGACTAACTATCGCTCCCCAAAATCAAATTGTTCCTGTTACAAGCGGCAATTTCGCGAATTGTGCTTCTCGTTTCGATGGAAATAAAAGCTCTGACGTTAATGCATTTATTGACTCTATATCAATTTATAAGGACTGCGCCCAAATATCTGAAGGTAATGCTCCTAAGGGTTTGCCGATGCTGCTTGATTTATTCCCCACAACGTGGTATCAAGGTATAAAAGCTACAATTATCTTCGGTCCAAAAAAGCCACCTTATCGTATTCATCGAGAATTATTTGCACACGAGCAGTACAATAATATGGCTACAGACGTTTTCATCTGCAAAGCACGTTCTCCACTTGCTGAACTGCCTCCAAATACTTTAGATGAACAAGTGCAGCTCGATATGATTTATGGACTACTTAATCGCCGGATTCGTGAGAAACTTCCCCGTAATAAAGTTGACAGTTTTTTCGAACTCTTGTCTAAAGCTAGAAAAATTGAAGAAACTTTTGAACGCGCGTTTGATCGCAGTACTTCCACAGTGAATAAAGACAGTCTTGAAACCGTTCGCTGTCAATTTTGTCGAAATCTCGAGCATACTAAAGACGAATGTCGTAAATTTAAACGCTCGCGGTAACCAGCACCTGAATTCCATTCATCAGCAGCAGGTAATATGCCAAAGAATACCGCTGCATCCCTACAAAAACCCTTACATGTTTCGCCCACTACTACTACATGTTATGGATGTGGTAAAGTGGGGTTCATCGGAACTAACTGTCCAAATTGCAAAAAGACGGAAGCTGCGTCAATAGAATTGTTTTGTTTCGACACTTTGATCAGCCCACGTGAACGTCCAGTTTTGCAAGTCAACATTTCAGGTCATGTTGGTCAAGGCCTCATTGACACAGCGGCCAAACAAAGTGTTGCTGGTCAAACTTTGTTCAATATTTTACAAAGTCAGGGCCATTCTTTTCTCAAAGAGCGAATATCTGTCAAGCTTGCCGATGGACAATGCCACTCCAAAGACGTTCTCACCGCCCTTGTAGATGTTCATATTGAGTATAAAGTTATTCCCACGTAATTTATCGTGTTTCCAGATACACAAACCCGTACATTATTCGGAATAGATTTCAAACAAGATGCGAAAATAATTCTGGATAATACTGCCTCCCAAGAATGGAGTTTTTCTGATGATCCGAAAATTGCTTATCGATTAGACTTTGAAAAATCTTGGACTCCCAAGATGCAATCAGAAGTGGCCATGTCTTGTGTTGACGTCCTACGCGTTGATGAGAGTGCTATGTTGGCCACTGGAGAGAGGCAAGTTAAATACCTTACTAGAAAGTCGGAGAAAGGTGGGGGGAGAACCAACCCCCTTTGCGAATCATTACATCAACACAAAATATCATTTGCCAATAGCCATGCCACCGTACCGCATGGCACCTCAGAAAAAAACTCTACTCAAGGAGGAATTAGATCGCCTTCTAGAGGAAGGCATAATTGAAGACTGCGAGTGTCCATGTGCCGCACCTGTGGTTTTAGTACCCAAGAAGACAGGCGAAATGCGCCTGTGTATTGATTATCAAAAACTAAACCATGTCACTGTGACAGATTTTGATCCGCTTCCACGCATAGATGACCTCTTACATGCCGCCAAACACACAACGTATATGTCTACCATTGACTTGAGATCGGGTTACCACCAGGTGAAAGTAAATGAACCAAATCGTGACAAGACTGCTTTTGTGACGTCTTTTGGGATATATCGTTACACGCGCATGCCGTTCGGCCTCAAAAATGCGCCAGCAACATTCCAGCGGCTAATCGACCGGTTCCGGAACGGATTGTAGAAAGATTGCGGTACTATAGAAGCTCTAGCGTACTTGGATGATCTTATTGTCCTTTCCAGTTCATTCGATGAACACTAGAGGATTTGAAGCTAGTGTTTGATAGACTTAAAGAGTTTAAGCTTTGGGCAAATCGCGGAAAATGTGTGTTCGCGTGTGCACAAGTGAAGAATCTCGGACACTTAATCGCGCCACAAGGAATTTCCGTGGATCCAGACAAAACGGCAGCCATTGTTGAACGCGAAGTACCTAGAAACGTTCACGAAGTTCAGTCTTTCCTACAAACAACAAGTTGGTATCGTCGTTTCATCGAGAACTTCGCCGAAATATCTCGCCCACTCAGTAATTTAACAAAAAAAAAAACTGGATGGACATGGAGTAAAGAAGAGCAAAATTCTTTTGACACTCTAAAAACCCTCTTGGTTACTGTTCCGATTTTGCAGCAGTGTGACGAGACCAAACCGTTCATTATCCGAACCGATGCGCGGAAATTTATTTTGCTTGTGTTGCTCTCTTTGTCAACCATCAAAAATACGAATATTGATAGCAATGAACTATTGTTCTCGTTCATGAGAAAACGCAAAGAAACTTTTATAGTAAATTTAGTTATTTAGTCAATATATACGTGTCTAGTTGTTTAAAAGGGGTGCGAGATTTCATTCTGCTTTCCTGGAACCCACTTAGAACTTTTACAGTTGTAATTATAAAATAGCTGATAATATATTTGCTTTATTGAGCCACAAATATTATATTTTCTTTATCTTCAACTAAAATCCTAATAGATGTTTATTTTAGGAATGCGTCCTCAACCCTCCTCCCTTATCGGCGCGCTTTCAATCATCTCGTCCATCCACAAACATCCCAAGATAGCATGTCCTTGGATGTAATTGAGAATCGTTAGGGTCGCGCAAGCGCTTCGGCAAAGAAATTTTCCCCGATGTGCTCCCGGATGGAAATGCTCAACAGTTTTCCCTGGAAAAATATAGCGGATTGGCTATAAGAATGTCGTCGCAAAATTCATTATAGTTTATATTTTTTTTAACAAGCAATATTTTGTGAAAGTGATTTTGTTCAAAGATTGTTTATAAGCTAAATAATTTCGGTTGTTTCTCTTTGATTTCCCTTTTGGTTTATTTGTTGACCGAAGATAAATAACCAAAATCAACAGGTAAGAATCTTAGTCTGTTGAAAATTGTATTTCTGAGTCATTGGTGTTTTCAGATGCCGGAAAGCGTGCTGCTACTAGCTAGCTACATCACCATGGCCGAGGCCGAGCCAGATCTGAGCACGTTCGAGAACAAGTCGGGATTGGCCGAGGACATGAAGTTCCTTGCTTCGATGCCGGAACTTTGTGACGTCACCTTTTTGGTGGGCGAGACCAGGGAACCGGTATGCGCGGTGAAGGCTGTATTGGCTGCGCGATCGAGAGTTTTTCATAAAATGCTTTACCAAGTAAGAATTGTCCTTATCAAATAATATTACTTTTCAAATGGCAATTTTTCTTAGGCCCCAAGTCCTCAACGTAAAAAAGAACCACCTCCAAGGGAAAACAAGTTGCGATTGTTTCTTAAAAGATCCTCTGAGCCATTGTTGAATCTTCAAAATGCATCTCAACATCATCAGGTAATATTTTTAAAAAGGTGCTTTTGGAACGACTACAAAAAAATATTCGCACAGTTATACTGTAATGTGTCTCATGGGCATTTAATATTTTTTGGTAGTAACAAGAAAATGGGATTCTTGTAAAAATTTACCTATAATAATAAGTCACTTCTTTATCCAGGGCCATATTATTAATGTGCCTATATAGAATCAGTCCATTGATAATATGGGTCTTCATTATGCAAAGGCTTTTAGTAGTCAAAGCTTGATAGTGAAACTAAAAAAAAACATCCTTGTTACATATACAAATTAGAGAGGCTACACCCAGCAGCTGGCTCCCATCCAAGAGGTAAAAAACCAATCCTGTGAAACCAGACGACCTTTTTTTTTATGCTTCATATTGCCTTGCTGATTTTGATAATGTAGAAATTAGATATCTTGGTTTCACACAGTTAAAACAATTATTTCGTTTTGAAAATAATACACACATCAACTAAATTTGACCAAATTTACTTAAACCTACTTCCACTTTGTAATTAATGCACGCTTTTATTAAGATTCATTGGATGATAGTTAATAGAGTTTTAAATTTTTCACTCACTAGATAATTTCATAATTTGGAAGTGCATGGTAGCTTCACAAATAATGTAAATATAATTTGAAATAGTTTATAGTACAGAGTGTATTAGGTTTGACAACACCTTTTTTTAGCACTCAAAAGTTTGATGAGTCTCAATGACTACGATGTAGGTATAATAACATCAGTAGATAAGCAAAGGCGGTTCTAGCATAAAAATCCGACCATAACCTCAATCTTTCATTCTTGACCGGGCCAACCGGTTAAGCGTGATACATGATACTCCTGTTTGTTCCCACATTAAACGTCGGCGACGTACTGATTCTCGAATTTTTCTTATTTACCACTACGGCATCCTGTGAAAGGACACAACGAACTTCACACTATGTACGCTAGATGGCGCCACCGAAAACATTATGACGTCGAAAAATTTGGGGTTGGCCCGGGTCAAATCCACGGAATTTCAGATCAAAGGCGCCGCCGATTTAGAGATTTTCCCACGGTATCGAAAAATTTCTCAGGCTCAGATGCCCCAGTTACTACTAACCTCCCAATAAACATTTTTGTTTGTATAATAGTCACCGTAAATGTTATATCACCTATCTTGAATAAGAAAAAGACATCATCCATTTTTATCCAAGAGACCAAAGGCAAGATTTTTGAAGATAACAAGAACAAAGTCACAGTTTCATAATTTATTTAATTAGCTACACGTGTTTCGCTCAATAGAGCATCATCAGGCCTTGAAATACACACCCTTAACACATATTAAATCAGTGTTTATTTTTATTTAATGTGTGTTAAGGGTGTGTATTTCAAGGCTCTATTGAGCGAAACACGTGTAGCTAATTAAATAAATTATGAGACTGTGACTTTGTTTTTGTTATCTTCAAAAATATCTTGAATAACCTACAGTTATATATTTGGTAACAGAAACCTTTCTGTTACTCTTATGAACCCCTTAAAGAGCTTAAACGGGGCATTTATAAAGGTTGCGAAAACCTTTGTCTAGTAACGCTATATAAATTTAGGTCATGTAACCTAGAGTAACAGAAATATTGTGGTAACCTTTATAAAACTTTCTAAATAACTCAAATATGTCACTTTTTCTACTTTTGAAATATTATCAGTCAGTAGTTAGAGAATTGAACTTAGAAAATGAAAATGGAGAGCCAATTATAAAATACGGCTTGGTTTGTTTTGTTAAATTAATTTTAGGCTCTTCCGTGACTAAAAATGTAGGTGGGAACGATTTTTTACAGTAAATATTGATGAAGTACTTCGAAAAAACGCAGGGGCCCTTAAAATACCTAATTATAATCAATTTCATGTCAGGTTTTCAAAAAATATACGTAGGTAGGTATGTTTGTTTTTTTATTTGCGACGAATTAATGACCAACGAAATTTGTATAAGCCACCATTTGACAAGTATGGGTTAATTTCAAATTAATTGTTGATAAAATAAGTCAAATATTGAACTTTCACAAAGTAATTCGGTAATATTGATCTTGGCAAAACAATCATGGCGGAATCAATGAAGTAACGATATAAATATTGGAAAGCTTTGTTTTGTGTTCTGCCAGTTTTTTAAATAATCCATGATTAATAATAATAATAAATAAAAATCCTGTTACAATATATTTGTTTACTAGAGGAAGACGGAAGAATGAGATACTAAAAAATAAGGTTACGATGTTAAGCCCAGACATTGTTTACTAAAGTTTGCGAAGTTCTATAGGAGAAGCCTAATATAATTAATATCACCAAGAGTTTTATAACAAAGTTAGACCATTACTATAATTTACCAGTTTCTATAAGAGTGATTAATCACACTTCTATATAACTACGGGTATTTTAGTTATATAGATAAGGTAATGGCAAACCTTATATAAATTTGTTATAAACACATTGGTAACGGTTACTAAAAGTTTTATAAAATGGTGATGGAAACAGTTATATCACCTTATTATATACTTGTAATTTACAGTAATCATATAAAACCGTTATATAAATACATCACCAAAAGGTACGGATTATAAAACTACGAAACTTTCGTATATACTTCTATTACCTTTATATAACCAGTATAAAACTTGGTGTTACTATAAGTTGCGAAAAATGTTTATTGGGCTATCTCGAAAAGCTGTCTTTATAGTCAGACCTGTCCCATAAAAAAGCTGTCTGTGTAGACAGACCTGTCCACACAGACAGCTTTTCAAGACAGGTTAGTAGTTACTGGGGCATCTGAGCCTGAGAAATTTTTCGATACCGTGGGAAAATCTCTAAATCGGCGGCGCCTTTGATCTGAAATTTCGTGGATTTGACCCGGGCCAACCTCAAATTTTTCGACGTCATAATGTTTTCGGTGGCGCCATCTAGCGTACATAGTGTTAAGTTCGTTGTGTCCTTTGACAGGATGCCGTAATGGTAAATAAGAAAAATTCGTGAATCAGTACGCCGCCGACGTTTAATGTGGAAACAAACAGGAGTATCATGTATCACGGTTAACCGGTTGGCCCGGTCCAGAATGAAAAATTGAGGTTATGGTCGGATTTTTATACTAGAACCCTCTTTGCTTATCTACTAACATCTGTTTCATTTTTGATTATATGTAGATTATTCCTCAACAATCATTAAATATTTTATTTGAAATGTAAGGTCGTACATAGGGGTTGAAAAAGGAATGGCCATTTCCTCAAAAAGTTTAAAATAATCCATATTTCCACCCACGTGCTAAAACATTTGTAGTAAAAGTTGATACACCCTGTAGATTTCACTTAAAATTAAAAGTATCGGTTTGCCAGATTTTTCCACTATGCATGATGTGCGATAAGTATTAGGTATAAAATTTTTCCCCGTTATACCTTTATAGTTTATATTATAAATACCATTTTCATATGTTTGAAACTTTTCCTCTTGGCAACCTAATAAGATCTTTGTTTGAAATTAGCCCCAGTCCCAGCAACATCAAACTTTGATCATAGAAGAATTCGAACCGGATGTTTTTCGACAATTAATCGAGTATATTCATACTGGTTGCGTTACCTTACAGCCAAGAACTTTACTAGGTAAGCAACTTAAACTTCTATTGGTTCAATTAAAGCTAAATTCAATTATTTTTGAAGGCGTAATGAACGCAGCTGATTACTATGGACTGGATGAGCTGCGCAGAGCTTGCGCAGGATTTGTTCAATGTTGCATCAACGTAGACACAGTCTGCGCATTATTGGCATCGGCTGAACGTTACATCCAGTACAAATGCACAAAATCACTCGTGCAAAAGGTAAATATAACAAAATTATTATTATCATTTTTCAATTCTGTCATACGTGAATTAAAATCATTCAAGGTTCTTGAATTTGTCGACGAACACGGAAACGAAGTACTAAATTTGGGCTCCTTCACTCTCCTCCCTCAACACGTGGTCCGACTAATTTTGGCCAGAGACGAGCTTCAAGCTGACGAGTTCACCAAATTTCAAGCTGCTTTGATGTGGGGTAAGTACAGCTTCAAAAGCAATACATTATTCATCCAACGACTGATTTTCAGGTAAGAAATACTGCGACAACAATCCAACGACCAGCCTGAAAGAAGTCATCGGCAACTTTTTGGAGTACATTCAATTCCACAAGATTCCAGCCAACGTTCTAATGAGAGAAATTCATCCGTTAGGATTAGTTCCTTACAGTATCATTATGAATGCGCTGGCTTATCAGGTGCAGTAATTTATCATGGTTAAAAAGGTGATTCGATTTCGTTAAATCAATCGGATCGAAGCGGAATAATTATGTTTACACGCTTTCGCAAAATTGATTTAGCCTTTGTAAGAAATTACAATTTCAGTGTTAAAATTCTGAACGAGTACTTGACCCCACTCCTACTTCTCTACCTACATTCAGAAGATTTCTGTCTTCTTAAAAAGTACATACTCCACAAGCTTGCTTTTTGTCTGCAGGCGCGTTTAGACGGTTCAGCTATTGAACTGTACTCTTCTCATGACAGTCTGCCTTGATCAAAAGAATGCGGAGAATCTATAAGCAATAAAACTCAACTGTGGTATGAGAACCAGAAAAATGCTTGATCTTCTGAATGGCTTTGTAGAAAACTGTGCTAACTTCTTTTTCGAACCTAAGTACGAGATGTTGAAGGAAAAACTGTCCTTCATTTTATCTCTTATCAACATGCATATACCCCCGGGAGATCAATGGACAACAGAGAGTCCGCCCTTGGGGTTTTCATCGACATTGAGGGGGCCTTTGATAAAACCACCATTCAAAAAATTAGCCACTCGCTAACAGAAAGGAATACTACGGAAACTGTTACCGGGTGGATATTCAATATGCTTTTCAGAAGAATTATACAAGTGTGCAGGACGTCAACATTAAAGGAATGGTCACAAGAGGCTGCCCGCAGGCAGGCGTGCTATCTTCTGGGGAACATGATTCTAGACAGCATCATTGTCCTCCTAAACAATGACAACCACTACACAATAGGTAGCTTACGCAGATGACAAGCACAGAGATAAATTTGAGAACTCGTTTTGCGAACGCATGCAATATGCTCTTCAAATTATACAAAGATGGTGCACGATATACACTCTGTCCATCAACCCCAAAAAGACCGAAATGGTCCTATTCACAAGAAAGAGGAAACTGGTACTTCCGACAGCACCCAGACTCTTAAACAGCGAACTAAGTTTTGCCGACGAGGTCAAATATCTGGGAGGAGTGAAACTCGATTACAAACTAACATAAAACTCTCATATTGCTAAGAGAATACAGAAAGGCTCGATACCAATTCAGAACTTTACCAGCAAATAAATCAATTGCCGACTCAAACAACTCCTCTTCAGATACATTACGTGCTATTCTCAGCTCATCAACTCTTTCCAGAAAACCATGCACGGATAGTTGTTTAGAATTACCGGTGAATTTCATACCCCACTTCTCTACACGTTGGGGTCTTAAAGGTTGGTAACTGGTGCAACAGGAGCAACAGGAGTGTTTTGACTGCACGAATTATGTGGACGTGCTCCGACATCCGAAGAATCTGAACCTGAATTTGAATGTGTTCTTTCCAACATTATCGCGCTTTAATTAGGATCCTCCTTGGAGATCCTCTCCAGTGATTCTAGGGCACCCAGAATTGCCACCATCAGATTAGCAGTCAAGTCCGTAACAGGAATACGGACCACTCGATTGAGAAGATGCACCAAACGAGATTCATTTCTCTCTTCACGAATTTACACTCACTTTTTTTGAAATTTTTGACTCATTTTTTTTTTGCGATTTTAGACCCACTTTTTTGCAATTTTGTCCTCACTTTTTTGCGATTTTTGGCTCTTTTTTTTTCGATTTTTGACTCACTTTTTTGCAATTTTGTCCTTACTTTTTTTGCGATTTTAGCCTCACTTTTTTGCGATTTCACCCTCATTTTTTTTGCGATTTTACCCTCACTCCTCCGCGATTACAAACTTATTTTTCCGCTATTTCATCCTCATTTTTCCGCGATTCTTACCTCATTTTCCCGCGATTTTTCCCTACTTTCCGCGATTTTTTCTTCACTTTTCCGCGAATTTGACCTCACTTTTTTTGCGATTTTTGAATAATTTTTTTTTTGCAATTTTTGACTAATTTTTTTTGCGATTTTACCATCACTTACCGCGATCCTAAATCCACTTTTTCGCGATTGTAAACCCACTTTTCTGTAAATATTATCTCATTTTTCCGCGATTCTTGCCTCACTTTTTTTTGCGATGTTATCCTCACTTTTCCGCGATTCCTATTTCATTCTCCGCGATTTCATCCTCACTTTTCGTGACTTTATCCTCATTTTGCCGCAAGTCATCTTATTTTTCCGCGAATTTAAACTCATTTTTTTGCGATTTTATCATCACTTTCCGCGATTTTATCCTCATTTTTCCTCATTTCAAAATTACGAGAATAACGATAATTTTTGAAAAGTTACGAAAAATTACGGGAATTACGTTAAAGTACGTAAAATATGAAAAATTATGAGAATTGCAAACATTTACCAGAATTACGGAACATAACGAAAATCACGGAATAACAAAAAATTGCGGGAATTAGAAAAATTATGGGAACTGCCAAATATTACGCAAAAAAATTACGAAGTTACTCCAAAATTACGTCAATTATTTCAATATTACTAATTTTTGAAAAGTTACGAAAACTTACAAGACAAATTACGAGAATTACGAAAAATAATGGGAATTATAAAAATTTACGGAACTTAGTAAAATGATGGAAATGACGAAAATTTACGGCAATTATGAGAAATTATAAAAATTACGGGAATTAAGGAAAATACGAAAAACTACAAAAATTACGGGTATTACCAAATATTACGGGAAAGAATTACAAAGTTATACCAAAATTACGTGAATTACAGTAATTCCCAAAATAACGGAAATCACAAGTTTTTGAAATTACGAAAATTACAATAACTTAGGCAGAATTAAAAAATTCCGAATTTTTTTGGAAATTAGGAAAGTTGAAAGTTAAAAAATTGAAAATACAAATAACTACTGGAATTACGAAAATATCATGATGAGAAAAGCGCGAGAAATTGCGGGAATAACGAAAATTACCAAGTTTTCTAAAAATTGAAAAAAATAAGGGGGAATTAAAAAATAACAAGAATTATCTTAAAAATGACAGGAATTAAAAAATTTCGAAAATTCCCCATAAAAAATACGGAAATTACCAACTTTCGAAAATTTCAAAAACTTAGGGGGAATTATAAAACTAACGGAGTTTTTATGAGAAATTACGGAAATTAAAAAATTACGAAAATAATGGCAATTATGAAATTTTCTAGTTTTTCGAAAATTGTAAAAACTAAGGGGGCATTATGAAAATAACAAGAATTATCTGAGAAATGACAGGAATTACAAAATTTCGATAATTCCCAAAATAAAATACGAAAATTACGAGAATTACATAATTTCGGAATTATGAAAATAACGGAGTTTTCTGAGAAATTACAGAAATTAAAAAATTACGGAAATCTGAAAACTCTAGGAATTATTCAAACATTATGAAAAATACGACAAAATCACCGGAATTAAAAAAAAATTGACAATTTTCAAAAAATTACGAAAATAACAAGAATTACAAAAACTTACGGGATTCACGAATTTTCCGAAAATTGCAAAAACTAAGGGGAAATTATGAAATTAACGAGAATTTTTTGAGAAATGACGGAAATTTGTAAATTTTCGAAAATTCCAAGAAAAAAAAAAATTACGGGAATTACCAATTTTTGAGAATCACAACAAACTTAGGGGGAATTATAAAGATAATTGAGTTTTTTGAGAAGTTACGGGAATTACAAAATTACAAAAATTTGAGGAACTACAGGAAATATAAAAAATGCCATAAAATAAAAACTTTGAGGACGTCTGACCCCCTTTTTGCAACGAACTAGACGTCTGACGATTTACATACGTTATCTGTGACCTTCAAACAGATAATGTGCAAAATTTCTATAAATTTTGAGCTTTGAGAAAACAGTTTAGATGCTTCTTAAAATTACAACTTTGCCCGCGTCCCAGAGCCAGCTGTCCCGGAACTGTGAGTGCTGACTGTACACTAGCATTCTAGCACTAAAGTACGACCTATTTTGAAAATATCCGCCTTGCGAAAACTCTTGCATGTTTTTGGCGCCACCTCCTGGACTATAACTATTACAACTCGGTTGACAACATCTTGACAAAGACTGTCAATCACAGAATCACCAGTCAAATATGCACTAGGCAACCTAAACCAATGACCTATTCTACTTAATAATACATTCGCCAATACGCAGACCGCATTAGGCCAATCGTACTCATCGCTAGAAGAGATCAGAGGCGTCGTGGAATCGCTAGGCTTGATGACGAGCTGAGGATAACGTCTCCTCTTGTGGCCTAATTGCTGTAGCATACCATACCACCCTCCCAAACTTATAGATACAGAGATTGCAGTTCCGCCACCCGGAATTTGGATAATAACTGAGTGTGTGATTCAATAAGACAATCAATGAAACGTCTAAACGTGCCTCATAAACGATTAAGAAAACCTTCATGAGCTATATGACTATAACACATTTAACAAACCGATCCTCCATTACTACTCTTTGCAGGCAGACCCGAACAGCGTTGACCCCAGTAAACTCTCCCCCAATCGGGTAAGACGTCAAGACCAAGGCAGATCGATGAGCGTACAAAGCAGCTTGGACCCTTACGGTTCCAACACCACTCTGAGTTCTTCCGGATCGTCTGCCGAGCTAGCTTCTTCCGATGGCAAGCATGCTTCTTCCGATGGCAAACATAACTCCAATTAACATAAGGCCACTGGTATGCCCCAACCTCCAGCTCCACCTCCCGGTGCCTTCCCTAGCTCCCATGTCACTCCCGTAGTTACTTCTAGCGGACCTTCTAGCGTTCACAGCACCACTCCTTCGGTGACTTCGAGTCCGTTGCACCACGTGCACCAACCGCCGCCCATAGTGACGGTATCAGCTGCTAGTCCTAGTGGTGCTAGTGGCACACAGATTTCTAGGCCGAGTTCACCTGGAGACTCCAGACCTAGTTCGCCTGCGCATACGTTCACTTTTACTATTATCATGAAGAAAGTGACGCCGATAGATGAGTTTGATGTGGCTTTGTAGGGACGGCGCAAAGGGTCGATGGATCATTTCATGGGGTCAACAGAAGTCTTGATTTAAACTCTTAGCAGTTTTATTTTAGCACAAGATTGGGCGTAGGTAGGTTCTGATAAAAATATACCAGAATGGACTAACAAAAACTAGTCAGTTCGAAACCTATCTGCAACTTAGTGCATGGGAGCTCGGAACAGTTGAGGAAAGTAAATTTTTCATTCCAATACGTCGAAAGCCGTCCCAAGAACCGTTTCGAAATCACTCTCTACACGATTCGGATTCTACGCACAAATTTTTGGTTTTGCGCAGAATTGTAACAGTAGGTAATCTAGGTATCCATTTGGAATAATGAGCGAACATGCCCACAGCTCTTTGAAGTGAAGCTTTATCAGTTGGTACTGACAGATTCTGTAGAGGTTCAAGTTTTGCAGGATCAGGTTTAGGTGTTCTGTTTCCTATAAGATATCCCAGTAGTTTGATTGTCTTTTTGTTCATCGAACTTTTACTTTTATTTATAGTTAGGTTGTACTTTTCTAACAGCTGTCAGAAAAGCTGATAAATTCTTATATTGTTCTTCTTGATTTTTTCCACAAATTGTTATATCATCGAGATATGCGTAGACGCCTTCTAGATTCTCTTGCCTGATTATTGTATCTAAGACATTTTGAAAACAAGCTACGCCGTTAGTCACACCAAAAGGGATACGATTAAATTGGTACAGGTTTCCATCAGTTTCAAGAGCAGTGAACTGTTTTCCATCATCTCTTATAGAGAACTATATAATACGCACTTTCTAGGTCAATAGTGTTAAAAACGTCAAACTTTGAGACTGCTCTTACCAATCCTCCGATTTTAGGTAAAGGATAAGCGTCGAGATAAGTAAACTTGTTGATTGTTTGAGAATAGTCAACAATCATTTTCTTTGTATGATTTTCATTCTTTGTCACAGAACTTGTGTTCGTCAGGAAGACGTACTTTCTTCAATGATACCGTCTTGCAAATGCTTCATGTGATTTTATCTAAAATATTCATAGCAACAGCGTAGGTTTTTGCTTCAGAAACGTATTCGAACACGTTGTGAATCACATAGTTTGTGAGCAGCTACAGCTTTTGCGCTTCTTCTACATCCTTCACTGACGACACGAAGTTCTGGAATGTAGTTTTCCAGTGACGCCATTCCTTCGCTGCATTTAATGAGCTGGGATCAGTATCAAACCTTTCAGGTTTCAGGAGCTTGTCCATAATGTCGATTAAATTGTAGTAATGACGAACCCGTCCTGACTTCACAAAATAAGCGCCCTACAAATTTGGCGCCCGAGCAGGGACCTGTTGCCAGTACAAGCAGTAACAAGACCAACTCCATTGCCAAGCAGAAAGGTTTTTTTTTCTGAAGAAAAAGGGGTGTGTAATGAAGTTACTTAAATTTCACATTTAAGCGGCGTTTTCACATACATTTATTATTGGCGCGATTTGACTAGTGCAACTTTTCTGGCACGTGGAAACTCGGAAAATAACTGACACCAATTGAGAAAAATATTGTATAGATAAAAGAACATTCATGCTTTCTCTATTCCCCAGAAATAAGGCTTTAATCGACAAAATAAGCATAAGATTAACTTGACAAATAATTAATGACACACAAATACAGGTAGACATGGTATTGAAAGCTCTGTGCCATTCGCGCGACAGCCGTTTGCGCGAGGGAGAAAAGCGCGATACGAAAAGCGCGAGGGACAAAAGCGCGACGGAATAAAAACGCGACAGGACAAAACCGCGATGGCCAAAAACGCGACTGGACAAAAGCGCGATTGACAAAAACGCGAGAGACAAATGCGCCACGAGACAAAAACGCGACTGGAATAAAGCGCGATGGACAAAAACAAGACTAGACAAAAGCGCGAAGAACAAAAGCGCGAGGGACAAAAGCGCGACGGAACAAAAAGGCGACTGAAATATAGCGCGATGGACAAAAACGCGACTGGATAAAAGCGCGAGAAACGAAAGCGCGACGGAACAAAAATGCAAATGAATAATAACCCGGTTGGTTTTCAATTTTAATCGGACATTTCCAAACTTACCCATAATAACCCGGCTAGTTAGCAATTTTAATCAGACATTTCCAAACTTGCCCATAATAACCCGGAGTTTACAGTTTTAATCAGACATTACCAAACTTACCGATAGTAACCCGGTTAGTTTGCCATTTTAATCAGACATTTCCAAACTTACCCATAATAACCCTTAGTTGACAATTTTAATGAGGCATTACCAAACTTACCTATAATAACCTGATTAGTTTGCCATTTTAATCAGACATTTCCAAACTTACCCATAATTACCCGGAGTTCGCAATTTTAATCAGACATTATATATAACATAAGACACAACTTACCGTTAATAACCCAGTTGGTTTGGGTTAGTTTGCAGTTTTAGACACTACCAAACTTACCGATAATAACCGGCTAGTTGGAAATTTTAATCAGGCATTACCAAACTTACCGATAATAACCCGGTTAGTTTGAGTTAGTTTGCAATTTTAACGAGACATTACCAAACCCACCGATAATAATCCGGCAGGGATTAGAGGGTGACCAAAGTTCATTCGCGCGGGTTATTATCGGTAAGTTTGGAAATTGATTAAAATTGAAAACTAACCGGGTTATTATCGGTAAGTTTGGAAATGTCTGATTAAAGTTGCAAACTAACCGGTTATTATTGGTAAGTTTGGAAATGTCTGATAAAAATTGCAAACTTAACAGGTTATTATGGGTAAGTCTGGAAATGTCTGATTAATATTGCAAATTGACTGAGTGTTTATCGGTAAGTTTCATATTGTCTTTCAGTCCATTTGCATTTTGTCCCTCGCGCTTTTATCCAGTCGCGTTTTTGTCTATCGCGCTTTTGTCCAGTCGCGTTTTTATTCCGTCACGCGTTTGTCCCTCGCTTTTTTTTCGCGTCTCGCTTTTGTCCTTCGCGCTTTTGTTCCTCGCGCTTTTGTCCAGTCGCGATTTTGTCCATCGCGTTTTATTCCAGTCGCGTTTTTATTCCATCGCGCTTTTGTCCCTTGTGTTTTTGTTTCGTCGCGCTTTTGTCCCTCGCATTTTTGTCCATCGCGCTTTCGTTCAGTCGTGTTTTTGTTTCGTCGCGCTTTCGTCCCTCGCGCTTTTCGTATCGCGCTTTTCTCCCTCGCGCAAATGACACAGAGCCAGTATTAAAACATAGAGATGTATCGCCACAGGTACAATTTATGGTTTCCTGCTGTATTGGGAAAAAGCTTATCTAAGTTTGAAGGTTTCTTATACTTGTTGGAAATTTTCAAAAGTCAGTGAGTAGGTAGGTATTCAGTTTTTATAAGTACTTTACATACCTACGTATCAATCTTGTCTTTGATCAAATTTTGTAATTTGTACACCTGAAGTGAAGTTACCCATTTCTTTGCAAACATTTATTTTGTTGAAAACTGCATTATTTACGAATTCACAAAATTCTATTGACTATGAAAGCCCTCAATGATGATTACATTTTTGAAAAATCACTCTGATTCATTTTTCTTGTTGCTAAAAACCAATCTAAGGACCCAAGACTCATAATACGATCCATCGACTTTTTGAAAACCATACCCCACTATGAACAGAAATATATTGGAAGTGTACTATAACAAATTTTTACAATATAAGCAGCGCGAAAAGAATTACTCGAGAAGTACCTATAGCATAAAAAGTATCTTGATATTTAATTTTTTGATAAAACGTAGGTAAAGCCAGGTCATCCAGATCCATTATTGCTTAAAACTTTTGGATTTTGAATTCGAGGATCATCTCAAAGGTGCGCAATGAGTTTCGGAAGATGAAGAAGATTCTGGGGTTACTGAAAAAGAAGAGAAATTGAAAGAAAAAAATATGAAGCAAGAACAACCCGTGAAAGATGAAAAATCAAAATTGATTTGAATCTTCTTCTGAAGTAAAGCAGTTGAGTATTCAAAATTTTTAACATATGAAAATAATGGATGCAATACAAAATTCTGAAAGATATCGAACCAATACCTACCATACAAATAAGAACGACAAGACTGGATCAAAGAAATACTCTATAATTCATAGATAAATGATAATAAACAAGAAGATGCTTAGGTATACCTTAAACCATCGTATCTTGAGAATTTCTTCTTCAAGCAGCTTCCCCAATCAAAACCTAGAACAATGATGACATAAAAATATAAAATTTCATTATGAAAACCATCAAAATTTTATATATCCAGATACTTTTTGAATTGTGCAGCAAATTGTGAACAATAATCTCAATCTATGACCATTCATTGTTAAACCTTTTTAAAGTTTATAAATGTGTATGAAATTTATATGTGTCAATCCTAGTCTCTACAATATATTTGAATCCAAAAATTTTAATTATATAACATATCAACCAATAAAACTTTCGAAACCATATTTTTGATGTAACGTCTTAACCCATTCATCCAAGAATCCAATTTTTCCACCATCAAAGAGCATACCAGTGGCTCAACTATTAGCTTTAGTCTTCACTGTCCAAAAAATAATAATAGTTATATACTCTGTATATTATTGGCTTTATGTAGAATTTATATTTATTCGTTTTAGTATTTTTAGTTTTAAATTAATGCATCTAACACTATCTAGACTATTTTTCACTTTTATAAAAGGCATATCCAAAATTTACGGAAAAATACTCACTGTTTTATTTTATTTAATATTTTTTAATAATTAGTAAGTATCTCTGTGTATGCTTTTAGGTTTGTTTCAATATGACTTCAAAGTATGAACAAATCATTCAGAATCAATTTTGCACTGATAAGTCAGGTTTGGATTCTTGCCGAAACAAACTATATTTTTTTTGCAATAACTTATAATAATCTCTGTATTCTGTCAATGGTAATACTATACTCTAATAACTTGCGCTACTAAATCAATGTGGGCTAAGATGTTATTAAAATATAACTCTATTTATATACAAATATTGTGTGTTTTATTTTTTCAACATGGCAACCAATAATTGTTTTATCGATACTTATACTTACTTGATTCTCTTATAGAAATAGGGATTGTTTGTGTTATTTTAGACGATTATAGTAAAATCAAAAATGGGTGGCAAAAAGAAAAAATCTTTGGCAAACAAATTATCAAAAATGTCCGACGAAGAACGTGCGAGATATTTGCAACACAGAGCTGAAGTTGAAGAAGAAGCTAAGAAAAGAAAGGAACAACTTATAGCAACTTTTATGAAGGTGAGCATCAGCCAATATTTTCCTATAAGATTGCATTACCTTTCCCATTGTCTATAGAAAAAAATCAAAAAAGAAGAAGCCTTTTCTCGCCTCAATATGGCCAAGATAAATCAAAACTGGCATCAAATTTTACGAAAAATCAAAGTGAAACAGATGAAAGACGAAGTGGAACATTTGAAACGTTGGATTGAAAGAGTGTTGGAGTATAAAAACCGTCGCATATCCAAACTGATGGACGAACTTGAAGAAGCTGAAGAACAATATTTGAATAATTTCAATTCGCATTCCACTCATTTGGATGGTATTATCGGTAAGATCATGATCACTCGATACCGAGTATGATTATCTTCTGTTCAATTATCATTGTCGTTGATTGTGCGTTTTTTGGTCGCTTTTTAAACTAATTCTGGAACTGCCCACTTTTCCACAGTCTTGGTACACATTGGCTATGTTCCGATATCAATTGTCAGTACTGAATTTACTGGACGCCGTTCCGATATTATTTTCAGTACACTGATTCATGACGTTTTAAATGCGTCAGTGACGTCATTAATACTTAATGGACGGGGATTCTAGAATCACGAGTCGAATAGAGACGATTTTTTCCGAAGATCCTAGTTTGGAATATCCTAATGAAATCATACCTTCCGAAACGACAGGGTGGGAGTCGAGTGGCGTCTCGTTGTCGAGTCGTGAGTCGAATTGTGATTTTAGAATCTCCCTGCTGCACCTTTTTTTCTAGTAAAACAGTACACTGTTGAATTCGGAACGGCAAGACAAATGACAGTAAAATCCAGTACTGGCAGTTGATAGCGGAACATAGTCATATCTTCTTTTGTTCTCTCGCTGCATGCTGCGGTCCTGTTGGATTTCAAAATCCGGTTGCCTCCGCTGACAGATAGTTCACAAGGTACAGGCCTCGCAAAAGGCAAAGCTAATCTAAGAACCTGTGAGTAGGTACTGTAGTAACGCCCATAACATTTCCACATTTTGTCTACTGCGCAAATTGCTTTCCCGCCAAGTTATTTTGCGGGGCCTGTATGGGTAGTGTTCTATGTTCTGCGAAGAACAGTCATTTATTTTTGGGGCTGCCCGGTGCGATTTGGTGCAGAATCTGCATCTTTTTAAAGTTGACCTCCAGGCCGATTCTCCTTTATGCCTGACAGTCCTGACGGTGTGTGATTCTCGACAACAGGATATACAAGGTGTCCCAGGAAAAACAGTCCAGCCCGATTTTTTCGATTTGAAATGAAAATCTGGTTTCCCGGGCCGGTTTTATGCTCCCTAGCGCCCCTGTTCTCCTGTTTCTGACTTCCCCCTCAACCTTTCTATGTTAGTATGAATTCAATCCTATGTACAGATTTTGAATAATCATACAATTTCCTATGTACAGGGTGGCCCATTTTCCATGTTTTAATAGGCTATATCAAAAATCTGGGAGCGCATTCTCGAGCTCTTTTTTTGAGAAAATAACGATGGCGAAGACAAATCACGGCTAACTTGAAGCGTTTAGGAAATACAGGGCAATTCTCATATTTTGTCCAATTTTAAAAGGCCTTCCAATTTCTTTATTAATCAATATATCCAAAAACGAAAAATACTTTCTATAGGCAGTTTTTCAAGAAGAATCCAGTGGCATGACCAATTTTTCTCCAGATGCCTCCGATTTTGAAATATTGACCAAAGTTGTGTTTTTTTAAATGGGACATCCCGTGTATTATTTTTTTATTGAATTGCTCTTTATGAGCTGATTTCAATGATATAAGGTTTTATACCTTCACCTTCTATAGTTTTGGAGAAAAAAATAATTTCGTTTTTCCATAGGAAACAATGAGCTAGAGAGAGATAAGTCATTAAATAGTTCAGCTATCTCTTTCTAACTCATTGTTTCTTATGGAAAAAACGGAATTTATTTTTTTTCTCCAAAACTATTGAAGGTAAAGGTATAAAACCTTATATCGTTGAAATCAGCTCACAAAGAGCAATTCAACAAAAAAATAATGTACTCATTTAAAAAAACACAACTTTGGTCAATTCGTACATTATTGATCTCAGCTCGTTTAGAAACTTCTAAAAGAGCCTCATCAGGGCACCACTAATTATGAGGTCATCAAAATAAATTTTCGACACCTGGTATGTCTCCAAATATTTCAAAGCATTTTCTTTGAAATAACTCGGGTGCACTTGATATTCCAAATGGCACTCTTCTAAACCGATACCTACCAAAGGGTGAATGCACGTTTACATAAATCTGAAATTTTATCATCCAACTGGAGTTGATAAAACCCATCCTTCATGTCAAAAACTGACAACAGTTGTTTTGATGAAAGCCTACTTGAAATATCGGTACAAGTTGGGATTAAAAATTGCTTTTTGCGGATATATTTATTGAGGGGTTTGGGATCGATACAAATTCTCAGTGATTTATCCTTTTTCTCGACAATCATCAGGCTATTAACCCAACTAGTGGGGAAATTAACCTTTTCAATAATATTCTTACTTTCTAAATTATCAAGAGTTTGTTTTAACCTTTCATATAGAGAAAAAGGTCCCATGCGCTGATACTGAACCACAGGCTTTGCATCTTCAGTCAACTCAATTTCACAAAGACCTTGAATCTTACCTTAGACCCTCAAAAATATGCCTATACTTTTCAAAAATATCATTTTTTACTTTTTGGTATAATCTGAACCACATTGACCCTTTTAATCAAGTTCAACCTTAGACAATCATCCTGACCCAATAAAGGTTCAGTGTTGGCATCTACAACTATGAAATTAACAAGGTATGTAATTCAAATTTTTGTATTCACAAGGTAAAGTTATTTGACCTAATGGTTTAAATCTCAAATTTCCATAAGAAATTAACGTTGTACAACAAGGTTTTAATGCTTGTGAATATTTTAACTTACTAAAAACATGCAAAGGCAAAACAGTATACTCTGCATCTGAATCAAGTTTGAATTTTAGGTCCGTGAAGTTGGCCCCTAAAGTGTTAATTTTTTTTTGGGAAAATATCTTGTGTGTTAGTGAATCGTTAGTGCTTCTTAGTTCTCCAATTGTTTCCGATAGTGCTTTTTCCGTTTTCTGTAAATCGATTTTTTTGTAATTTCAAGGTCAGCCCTGACAATCTGTCAAAATGAACGAAATTTGTTACTATGTTTTAGTGCTTCGTTAGTGCTTCTTAGTGCTTCAAATAGTTTCGAAAGTACTTTTCTCATTTCTTAAATATTTTAGATTTTCACTTCAAGGTCAGCCCCCAAAAATTTCCCGAATTACTCAATTTTGCTGTCAGTTTTTAGTGCTTCGTTACTGCTTCTTAGTGCTTCAAACGGTTGCATTCAAGAATACTTCCTTTTTGAGATATTCAACTTTTAATTTTCAAGGTCAGCCCTCAAATCATATGGGATTGAGTTAAATCTAGAGTCGTTTTTTTTTTTGCGCATCGTTAGTGCTTTTCAGTGCTTCAGATAGTTTTCTTAATGCTCTTTCCGTATTCTGATTTTATTTTAAAATTACCACTCAAACTTGTTCCAAAATGTACAAAAAACACAGGGACGCCACTGAAGCCAGCATCGGTTTACTAAATTACCATAAAATAGAGATAGAGAGTGCTCCTGCCCTTTCCTCCATATTAGGAACCCAAAGATAATACACACTACTTAAGGATTGCTTATCGGCCTGGTTTTTGGTAATCGCCGCCATATTGGTGTGTCACCATTGCCAACGTCATTAACAAGTCGTCAGCTGTTTGCACTGGCAGTCGTAGCTTAGAATAATTCAAATTTAAGATAAAAAATATTGTTTAATTTTGATCAACATAATAGGCAAAGAGGAAGATGAAAACGAGATCTAAATAAAGGGTTGTTTTAGAATGTTAATTATTAATGTAGTAAAACCGAGAATAAAACCAAGTATGCATGAAGCCAAAGCCCGCGGAATCATAACCTGTAGTACAAAAGGCCTACGTCCATCCGAGAAAGGACATGCCTACGTCACAACTGCTGATTTGAAGTAGGTATCATCCTTGCTATGAACCGATGTTGGCTTCAGTGGCGTTCCTGTGTTTTTTTGTACATTTGAAATAAGTTTGGGTGCTAATGTTAAAATAAAAAATACTAAATAATCTGAATACGGAAAGAGCATTAGGAAAACTTTATAAAGCACTAAAAAGCACTAAGGATGCGCAAAAAAACACCAAAATAATTGAGTAATTAGGAAAACTTTTGGGGGCTGACCTTGAAGTGAAAATCTAAAATATCTAAGAAATAAGAAAAGCACTTTCGAAACTATTTGAAGCACTAAGAAGCACTAACGAAGCACTAAAACATAGTAACAAATTTCGTTCATTTTGACAGATTATCAGGGCTGACCTTGAAACTACAAAAAAATTGATATACAGAAAACGGAAAAAGCACTAACGAAAACAATTGAAGCACTAAGAAGCACTAACAAAGCACTAACAAACAACATATTTTTCCAAAAAAAAATTAATATTTTAGGGGCAAACTTCACGGACCTTTGAATTTTACCTGTTTTCCTTCAATTTCTAGGGTTTCATACAATGACTTTTTCTCGGGTACTGGAAAATTATTTAATAAATAAATCCTCTGTATCCACTTCATATGAACTGTCATCGTATTTTGTAAGTTCTCTTACATTCGTAGATACTGCTTCCTTGCTGATAGCTTTATTTTGTAAAATGTCCTTCAGACATACTTTGGCAAAATGTCCCTTTTCTTGGCACTTAGCACACGTTTTATTATATGTTGGACATCTGTTAATCCAATGTTCATAAGAGCATTTTCCACATTTAATCTTCTGAGCTTTCTCTCGTGATTTTCTTACAAAATTAACTTCTTCTTCTGGATTTAATGTTTTCAAGTGCTACTTGCTTAAACTAACAGACTTACAATACTCAATTATCTTGGTTACATCAACATCTGGCTCTCTAATTAACCTGGCTTGAATTAGTTTGTCAATTATTGCAATGATCAGGCGGTCCCTTATCATGCGATCTTCATAACTAGTATCACAATTTGGCTTTTTGCAAATAAATCGCACAATTTGGCCTGCTTTTTGAGTTCAGTTAAGTACTGCTCAATATTCTGATCGGCTGATTGGGTAAGGTTATTAAACTTGAAGGCCTTCATCGGAATGATTTTCTTTGGGAGAAAACGGGCATCAAAAGCTTTAAGACACTTTTCTAACGTAGATGTTTCATCTGTCTCAAAAGTATTATATATATCGAGACCATCATCTCCTATGCAATTTAACAATATTGCAATCTTTACATCTTCGGCTACACTTTCTTTACCTGCAGCTTTCAAGTAAATTGTAAACTTCTGTCTCCACAGAGTCCAATTCTTGATGTCGTACTCGATTAAAGGACTGGGTGGCTTAAAGATTGCCATTGTGATAGCTCAATATGTAGGTATTTCTAGCGCGTTTATGATGAACTATTGAGACACACACTTTGAAACACTTTTTGGGTAGTAAATCAAACCACCACACCTGACACTTAGGCTGTGAGCAAAACTACTTCGTGAACTGTGTATGGGTAAAACTAAAGCTAAAGCGAAAGCCAAGCCACTTGAGCTTCATTACATATAACAGTTCCAATGAAAGGTCTGTTGTGCCTCTACCCATTTTTTGACTTCGGTTCTTAAAGGGTTTTTTGTCAGGCCAAAGAAGGGTTCTGGACCGAGGAAAGGTGACGCGACGTCTTCTCTTGCAAGCCGGTCCGCTATTTCATTTCCTTCTATGTTTTGGTGCCCTGGTACCCATGCTAGAGTAGAGTGACTCTATTGCAGTTCGCCAGTTGCTTCAGAAGTTGCTGACAGTCCCAGACTAGTCTGGATTTAGTGACAAAGCTGTTAAGAGCCTCAAGTGCTGCCTTACTGTCAGAATTGATGGAGATTCTTGCACCTCGTAGGTCTATTTCAAGACACTTTCTGGCGCAGAGTGCTATTGCGTACGTTTCCGCTTAGAATATGGTGGGGTTGTTTCTTAAGGCTACCAATAGCTTGCAGTTTGGGCCATATACGCCTACTCCGACCCCTTTTTATGTTTTCGATCCATCTGTGTACCAGATGGATGAACCGTTTGAGAATTTATGTACGATCTTGTCACTTTTGCGGCCTTCTGCGGTCACACTAAAAAGGTAATTAAATTCGTATCTGGGTGGCATGATGTCCACCGATTTTGTTAGTGTACCATGGCATTCTTTAATGGTGCTCATATGTCCAACAAAGTCCCTTTCCTTTAGGTTTAGAGACCGTATAACCTTTGAGGCCCCCATGCAGACATCCCTTCTCACTGCAATGTGCAGAGGGATGATATCTAACATGATCTCTATAGCAGTGGTGCGACAGGTGTTCATGGCACCTGTTATTCCAAGACATGCATACCTTTGTACAACTGCCAATGGGTTTTGCCCTGTCTGCTGCTTCACTTTTGGCCACCACACCATTGCAACATATGTGACCAGGGGTCTTATAATCATCGTATATAACCAATAGATCATTTTTGGCTTTAGGCCCCATGTTTTACTGAATAGTCTTCGGCATGTCCAGTACGCTACTTTTGCCGGATCGATTATTCTTTTAAATGTGAGTTCCAGGTGAGCTTTTGATCTTGGACAACGCCCAGATATTTGACTTCACTTGAAAGGCCTATTTGTATTCCATCCAGTGTTGGAGCTATTAGGTTGAGCTTCCTTTTCCTTGTGAATGGTCCAATTATTGTCTTGCTAGGATTCACCCTTGAACCTTCTTGCAGGCACCAGCTTTTGATGATACATGAGTTCATTAATGAGCCTATCATGCTTGTCTCTAATGATGACTGCAAGGTCATTAGCATATCCTAGGAACACAAATCCATGGGCACTTATGTTCAGAAGTTCATCTATTACTATGGACCATAGCAGTGGGGATAAGTCACTTCCTTGGGGGCACCCCTTGACTGCTAGGACAGTCGCTGAGTCGCTTCCAAGAGTTGCTTTGATTTTCCTATCCTGTAGCATAGTTTCAATCCATGTCATTCATTGTAGTGTCCTCAAAGCCTTTGTTTGTTGCCGCCTTTCTTATGAACTCATAAGAGGTGTTATCAAATGCACCCTCTATATCAATGAATACACAGAGAGCGGTTTCTTGGTTGAAGTGTGCCTTTCCAATACTATTGACAAAGGCTGTGTAGGGCTGTCTCCGTTGATTTGCCTGCTTAGGCATATTGGTTTTTGTGGAGCGATTTATCGGTCACGGATTCGCTTCTTATGTGTAAATAAATGATTTTCTTCATGGGTTTGAGGAGAAACGAGGTTAGGCTGATGGGTCTGAACGATTTAGGCTGTGCTATGAAACGTTTCCCAGCCTTTGGAAAAAAGAACACATTTACTTCCCGCCAACTGGTGGGAATGTAACCTAGTAGGTAGCTAGCTTTGAATATTATTGATAGTGGAGCTATAAGTTCTTCTAAGCCTTGTTGTAGGAGAGCTGGAAAAATTCTGTCTCCTTCAGGTGATTTGTAGGGCTGAAAATTGTTTATAGCCCATCTTATTTTGTTTGAGGTGAGCCCTATCAAACGTCTGTAGTTAAGTTATTTGAAAAAACTCTCCTTATCCATTGTTGCATGTAGTAAGTTGAGCATGGATGGATGTTCTTTTGCGGACCGGGTACCCAACCTTTGCCAATGTCTTCCAAAAAGTTTCTCTGTTGACCGAATCAAATGCTTTCACTAAATCTATGAAGGCCATGTATAGAGGACGATTAGGTTTTCTGGATTTCTCTTGCACTGAAAATCATGTCAGCTGTACCTCGGTTGGTTCTAAAGCCACATTCTGTCTCTGGGCAGTTGGAATTAGACAATTTGATAATAGGATCTGGATAACTCAGCACATAATTGTATATAATATAAGTTATCCAGTTCCTTGACTAAATAATACAACAAATCAAATTCCAGAAAATCAAAATGATTACATCGATAATCTCCAGTCGCAATATCAACAAGAATTGAACGAGCTATTGGACCAAGCTAAGAGAGAAGAAAATTCCATTGCAGAAAAATCAAACTCTGAAATCGACTATTTAAAAACAGTGTCTTATGGACAAGAAAAACAAGCTCTAAAAGAGCTCAGGTCAAGCTGGGAACTTTATAGCAAACAACTTTACGAAATTGAATATAACGTAAGTAAATCGCTTTAGTTCTAGGACAAGAACTTAAATTTTAATATGTATAATCATAATTTTTCTATTATAGGGACGAACGAAACGATACACTTAATACGTTAATAACACTATCCGGAAACGGATATCGGGTTTTGATAAACAAAATCGGTATCGCGTTAAACAAAACGCTCTAATTTGCCATAGATCCTATTATTAAGTACAATTACGGTACCGGTATAAAAAAAGCGGTTCCGTGCAAATTGGCTCAATGGTGACCTAGTTTTCGTACGACATCATGAAGACTTTATGTGTATTTTTAGTGCTAACTTATGTTTTATATGCAAAGGTAAGAAATAAAAAGATCAATTGAAAAATATTTATTGAATATTATCATATAGGCACTTGATTGCGGCATATCTGGTCTAAACAATGAGCAATTTAAAAAGGTAGTTACTGAATGCGTCAAAGATAACAAGACGTTAAATAGAATTTGGGAACTGACTTTTAGCATGTCAAATGAAGATGATGGGCCTGCTTCTTCTTCTGAAGAAGAAGAAGTACCTGTTACTAAAGGTATACATTGATTAAGTAAGTATTTTGCATTGATTTAAATGATTTTTCAGGCATTGTCAATAATATGAGCGACAATAAGAAAATGAAATCCATGATGAGGATGGGACACAGATTTAAAAGATCAAGGAGTAGCAAAATGTATAACAATGATGCTTCAATTCAAAGGAAATATGCAATCAGTACCAGTACAACTGAAAAACCAATAATAGCAACAATGTCAGGAAAATCTGAAGAAAATGATAATAATGTTGCTAATTCCGATGATATTTGTATTTTGCAATGTATTTTTGAAAAACTAGATATGGTAAGTAGGTAATAGCAAAATTGATAGAATCAGAATTCAAATCTTAATAATTATTATAGACAGATTCTAACGGACTTCCTGACCACAAGAAATTTGCTGCTGCACTAGTTGAAACAGCTTCTGGAAGAGAAGTTCGTGACTTCTTGCAAGAATCTACTGACGAGTGTTTTCAACAAATGGAACAGGGTTAGTAAATATATCAATACTAATTATTATTTCAATAATTATTGTCTCAAACTTTTTCTATAGAAGAATCCAAGAACAGTTGCGAACACTCATCCAAACTGGTTATGTGTTTGGCAGACATGGGCAAATCGAATTGTGAAGATTGGCCAGCAGGAAATTTACCATTTTGATTTGTTTTATAATGATACCTTTATTGAAATTTGAAGAAATAGTTTGTTGTTTAAGAGTAATATAGTTTTGTTGGCATTAAAAAATATTTATTTCTATTTAATCTAGATACACATATAGCTCCAGCTAACTGAATATGAGATTGAATTTTGGATGAATTTTCTGATATTTCAGAATCGCACTAAGTTGAGACACTTACGTAAAACACGTAGCGAAACGGAAGGTGCCCTTTGGCAGCAAATCCTGCAAGTTGTTCGCGTGTACGTTCAACGCACCGACACTAGAAGGAGCCACTTGCAGGAATTGCGGAGAATGGACACGGACAGTGCCGAGGAAATCCGCAGGAACGAGGAGAAGATAATGAAAGAAGAGGTGAGTTTTCAGAATGGTCCTCGATTTGCATGGATCTTTACCTGTGTCGCGAAAAAATATTTTCTCGTATTGTATGCACTTTTTTTCGAGAGAGACGAGAAATTCTGATTGTTCAAATGGCAATTCGAAACTCTTTTCTCGCATTGGACTATTTACAACCAAAAACTGATGTTTATTTGATATTTCCCTGAAATAAATCTAGCGCCTAAAGGCCATTAGACTTGTCGTCGGTCTAATATTTGTAATTAAAACTCAAAGTGAAGATAGCTTTACCGCCTCTATTTTAGATAGGCCTTAAATACGAGCTTATGAGTATAATGGGTAGATCGTAATTTTGTTCCAAGTAGGTAGTGTTTGTTATTTGTTCGTTTTGTGTTGAAAATCTACTTAATTTAGTAGAAATTATTGCATCCGGATTTCTTTTTTTGGGGATAATTATACCTAATTTTTACTTGGCGAAGACATAAAATAACATAGATAAACAACTTCAGAAGCATCCGTTTTAAAAGTTTAACTTATTATTACCTACTATTTTGAAACTGTATTATAGAAGACTGCTTAACACTCAAAATTTGAATTTTATTTGACGTGAGAATTAGTTTTGAATGATTTTAGTTTTCTTTCCTGAGGTTCTTCTGTATTTCTTGCAATTTTGAAGGAGAAAAGTTGTAGTTGTAGAAACTATCTTTATGAATTTTATTGCAAATTTAGCTATCACAGTATTCACAGTTGTTTGAAATGGAAAACAATCTCAACAGTGAAGCAAAGTGGAGATAATTAGGTATATTATTGAAATAGTCGCTACTTCTGGCAAAAAAGTTTCCCAGACAACACAGAGACATTTTAAAGACGCTTCTAAGATATCCACAAACGACATTCATCTAGACATCTGCTTACGTCTTCGAGGCGTCTTAAAGATATCTTGAAAACGTCGTATGTTACAAAACCCAGCATATTTCAGACGTCTGCCTAAAGACGTCCTCAGGAGTTGTTAAAACTGATAATGCCTTCTATCCTCAGAGTCCACCTCTATCAAGTATAGCTATACCTTTGCAGCAAGAGCCGTTAACACTTCCAAAAATACTTTTATTTCACAAAGAACAATGTGGAAAATTTTCAATCATTCAATAAGAATCACTGTCATCTCTTAACATCATCACAAAAAATGTAAATTCCTTGAAGTTCCCATTTCCAATAATTGTAAAATGCGTTGCAATGGCTGTAAAAGTTCACCTGAAGCCGTTTTCAACTTCACTATTCTTATTTCTCCATCACGTCCAGGAATAATTTCAATTATTCGCCTCATAGGCCATTCAAATTTCTTTCTATCATAATCTGATATCAAGACAATATCTCCAACTTTTACTGTCTGTTTAGAATTTTTCTTGGAAAAAAGAGTCAATTCAGTTGACCTAAATATTCTGACTTGAACCTCTTATTCAGATTTTCTTTTAGTTTCTGTCGATATATAAATCCTCTACCCAGATCATTGGCTTTAATTAAATCAAGATCTACAATTCCTACTTCTTTAACATCTTGTAGGAACATTGACGGTGTTAGAACAGTAGTAGGATAGTATTTTTACAATTTTTGGAGCCGAATATATGAGAGACTGTTCAATCAAATATAAACAAACTATATATTTTTGGAATCCGGGCATTGTGCTCTTCAAGAATATAGAATAAAATATAGGGCATCTCAATTGAAAAAAGTTGGAAGCATGCAAAATTTCACATTTCTGACATTTAAATTTTGTTTCTGATCATGGTTTCTAAAAATTCAACCAAAACTTCACAACTATTGTTTTTACACCTTTCTTCTACCTATAAAGGTAAAGGCTGTAAGTGGGGTGTTAATATAAAGAAAAACACCCTGTACAAATGAGTGGATTATTGCGGAACTTATGAGTGGACCTCTGCGGGACGAGTGCAGCGAGTTCCGCAGCCATCTACTCACCAATATACTATTGAATTGTTCAAGTAAGACATTCATCAAAATGTAGTTTTTGAACTAATAAGAAAAACTCACAACTGAGAGAATCAAGTTAGTGTGTACTTGAACAACATATTGGTGAATAAATGGCTACAGAACAGATGTCCACCCATAAGTTCCGCAACAATCCACTCGTTTGTATTTGAATAACTTGTCACATTATGTTACTAGTTTGGTAAAGTAACATTACTAATTCCTGATGAAAGGCAAATTGACAAAAAGTGAATAATCTTACAAATTCTGACTTTATATAATAAGTTATTGTTGAAGAACAAATAAGTGGATTGTTGCGAAACTTATGGGTGAACATCTACTCACCAATATACTGTTGAACTTTTCAAATAAGACACTCACCTGAAACGTGTAGTTTTTAAACTAATGAGAATAACTGAAATTTGAGTGAGTCAGGTTAGTATCGTACTTAAACAACATATTGATGAATAGATGGCTGCGGAAGTCGCTGCGCTCGTCCCGCAGAAGTCCACTCATAAGTTCCGCTACAATCCACTCGTTTGTACTAGTAACATTACAAATTCTTGATGAAAGGCAAATTGACAAAAAGTGAATAATCTTACTAATTTTGACTTTATATAATAAGTTATTGTTCAAGTACAAACAAGTCGATAATTGCGGAACTTATGGGTGGACCTCTGCGGGACGAGTGCAGCGAGTTCTGCTGTCATCTGTTTACCAATATACTGTTGAACTAAATAAGACAAATAAGACACTCACCTGAAACGTTTAGTCTTTAAGAAAAACTGACGTTAGTGACGTTTGAGCGAGTCAGGTTAGTGTCGTACTTGAATAACATATTGGTGAATAGATGGCTGCGGAACTCGCTGCCCTCGTCCCGCAGAGGTCCACCCATAAGTTCCGCAACAATCCACTCGTTTGTACTTGAATACCTTGTTACATTATGTTACTAGTTTGGTAAAGTAGGTAACATTACTAGTTCCTGTTAAAAGGCAAATTGACAAAAAGTGGATAATCTTACAAATTCTGACTTTACATAATAACTTTTTGTTCAAGTACAGGGTGTTTTCTTATATATTGACACCCCATTTACAGCCTTTACATTTACAGGTAGATGAAAGGTGTAAATACAAAAGTTTTACAGTATTGGCTAAATTTTTAAAATCTATGGTCAGAAACAAAAATTGAATGTCAGAAATGTGAAATGTTACATGCTTTCAGCTTTTTTCAAATGGCATGCTCTATATTTGGTTTAATATTCTTGAAGAGCACAATTTCCCGATTCCAAAACTATATAGTTTGTCTATATTTGGTCTCCAACATATTTGATTTCAAAAAATTTCAAAATACTATCCGAGAAACCAAGTAACTCAAATTTTACTTGCAGCTTTCACCTGTACAGGTAGAATGGTCTACAAAATCAGTAATAGGATAGTATTTTTAAAATTTTTGGAGTCGAATATATGACAGACCGTTCAATCAAATATAAACAAACTATATATTTTTTGAATCGGGTCATTATGCCCTTTAAGAATATAGAATGAGATATAGAGCATTCCATTTGGAAAAAGCTGGAAGCATTTAAAATTTCACATCTCTGACATTCAAATTTTGTTACTGACCATGGTTTCTAAAAATTCAGCCAAAACTGTACAACTTTTGTATTTACACCTTTCTTCTACCTGTTAAGGTAGATGGGGTGTCAATATATAAGAAAACACCCTGTACCTGTGCCTGTCGCACACATGCTCAGTTCTTTCCAAACAGGATGAAGAACGCAGTTCAAACGTATTTTTCTTCTACAGTGAAAATGGCTTCTCACAATATAGCTTTGTCTTGTATTCTGCTTGCTTGTGCAATAGTTAAGAATACTTCATAGGCAGCCGATTTCCTGTTTTTATCACTATAGTCCTTATTTTTTATCTCCCATAACCATTGAAAGGTTTTGAATATTTCTATAAAGTCACATAGAAATTGTTTGCTTGTGTTCGACATTTTGTTTATTTGGAATGCTATCATTAGACTACTGACTAAATAAACTGAATAAATGTACTTAACACACACAAAGCATTGACACATCCAACGAAATTCTTTCCACAGTCGGAATGAATTGTTGAAGGTACACTGAATAAGTATATTTATTCATTATTCTACTGCAACCACAAAACCTATCATAGGGCCACAATTCTCAAAATAAAACCACTGTGGAAAGACAAAAGAAAGCCCCACGTTGGGCGCCATAATATAACCTTCAATTGTTGGAGATTTTTTTACAATAGGTTTACCCCATTCATAAGTTGTACCAGATAATCACAACTGATGGCCTATCGGCTAGCTTCTACGGTGGTTTATTTTAGGAGGTTCTCTTTTTTGTCTTGGTCTCTTCACAGTCGCTCTAGAAAGTCAGCAGCAACGAGGGAACCAAATTATATTTAAAATTATTTAGAGCGGCACACACGGATTAGATATGAAATTCCTAATTCCCTCGTTCCTGCGGTTCCTTCGTGTGTAGGAACAAATTGGGAAATTGAAACACTCCAAGGCAAAAATAAATTGAAACAAATTAGATAAGGTACATTGAATAAGTATATTTATTCATTATTCTACTGCAACCACAAAACCTATCATAGTGCCGCAATTCCCTCCCAATACAAAACCACTGTGGAAAGACAAAAGAAAGCCCCACGTTGGGCGCCATAATATAACCTTTAATTATTTGAGATTTTTTAAAACTTGGTTACTTACAATAGTTTTATCCCATTCATAAGTTGTACCAGATAATCACAACCTATGGCCCATCGGCTAGCTTCTACGGTGGTTTATTTTAGGAGGTTCTCTTTTTTGTCTCTGTCTCTTCACAGTCGCTCTAGAAAGTCAGCAGCAACGAGGGAACCAAAAACTGGATCAAATAACCATTGAGGTCCCTCCTACCATCTTATTTCAGCTAGTGTCCAGATGAACGGTTTCCATTGGTCTTCTCCCCTAATCCAAGATAAAACTGTTGATGAATCTGACCAAAAAAAAACTTCAAGTTTTAAACCGTCAATATTGTAAAAGTTTTGAAATAATCGTACACCGATGGTAGCAGCTAAAAGTTCAAGACGAGATTTAATTAACTTCTTGACCGGTGCCCTTAAAAAATACTTGCATCACAGAAGAGAAGTAAAGACTGAGTAGTCGATTCTTTAAAATCTGTTACTATCCATCGAGTCAAGAATGGCAAATCTCATCAAAAATATGTGACCTCAATGTCCCATCCCAAATTCGAAGATCATATCTTTTAGAGTGTAAGTTTGGGAATCAACGTAACTGGACACGAAAAGCCAATAGGGCCAATATGGATAAAATAATTCGTTTGGTTACCTGTCGTATATCGAGTTTATCAAAAAATTGTAGTGAAAGTTTCAAAGTGTCTAAATTTCTGTTCCAAACAAGTCCAAGAATGTTGCTTCTTTCTTCAACTTTAACATACTCTGATAAAGAATACTCCCACCCTCTAAGTTCAAATTTACCATCAGCCAAAATTGACGTAGACTATGTTCAATGAATTGGTTTATTGCTTTTTTATCTGATACGAAAAAAGACTTTGGAAATAAGATTACGACTGTAGATTACCTACTTCTTCACGTTCTGATTTTTTGAAAGTTTCTTTTAAGGTGGTAGTCTATAACTGCTCCTAATAGAAAAGGACAAATACCACTCGTGTATGTCTAAGTATTTTCAAGGTGTCGTCTTTATCATACCACAGGAACTTTAACAAATTTCGATTACTTACTCTCTTGTAAGCTGATCTGCAGTTCAGCAGTTATTCCAATCTTCTCGGTTCGAAAACGTACAATCATGGAAGGGATCAATTCAATAAGAATAATACCCTTTTCCAAACATTGATTCAGAAATGGTTGACTTTTTTCTCTTGATGACGCATCATAAACCGGTCGTACAGGTGTTCTGGCACTTCTAGGTTTGTTAACTGGATGGTGTGGCAAAAAATGACCAGACTGACATAACATTTCAAAAGGTTCATTATTATCTGGTAAGGGTTCTATAAATCCATATGCTAACCAATTATCAAAGACTTCATCATAACATTGTGAAAATTATCTTTTTTTAACTTTTCCGTGGTGTTAAGAAGTTTTTAAATGACAAATCAAAATCAGACGACAGAGGTGAGTGACCTTCAAGCCACAGCATACTTACTTCATTCTCTTTTTGCTTCACTGTTGACAAAAATGTTCCATGATCAATGCTTCTTGTTCCTTTTGAGATTTGTTTTTCACAGGCTCTTGAATTCCAAGAACATCTAAATTGCATAAGTTAGGTAGGTCAAAATCATTTCCTCAAGTTTTGTTTCACTCTTTTGGTTAATGTTACTTATAGAGAATCTGAGAAATGAAAAACAAGTTAACAACCTATTGCAGTTGATAGCCTTTTCTTCAGGTGTATGAGTATGTATGTGGCAAACTTTAACCAGGCTCTATTAGAGCTAAATACCACAACTATGTTTTTTTCATGGGCGCAGATTTGATACAAAGCTGTTCTTTTTAGGAGCTGATCAAAATCCTGAAAACTAACCACAAAGACATGTTGAAAATGAAAACAGACAAAGTCCAATCACTAGAGGCCGAAGAAAAACTGCTCAACATTAAATTCCTGAAAATCCGCAAAGACCTGAAAGTCCATTTGGCTCTTGATGAAAAGCAATTGCGGCTTCTCACTGCAACTTCCAACCAAGCCTTAGAAGAACTAAATTTGGTTCTAGAAAAAGGCAGACATGTCTTAGCCTTGTCGATTACTTGTAAAAAGTTTGAAACTGACAGAGAAAGGATATCCAAATGGTTGCCTATTATGACATTTGCTGAGCTTAAAGATGATGATGAAGGTTTAACTGATGATCAAAAATTAATTCAGAAGTCATTGAGAAAAGGATTTAGTACGCGTAAGTTTTAGTTTGTTTGGGTAAATTTGTTAGTTGATTTTTATATTTCAGCAAAACTTGAAGAATTCAATATCCGTCCACAAACAAGCAGTTTTTCTGCAACCTTTGAACCTCTGCTTTCAGACTCTAAAGTAGCTCCTATAGAAGATGTTAAAATTGAATCCAAAAAAATAGAAGAAAAAGAAAAAATCCCAACAAATTTCCTAAATAGCTGTTACGAAAATTTGGAAAAATTGGAAAACTTTTGGATGATTTATAACAAGTGCGAAATTGACGTAATGGAGCTGAAGCAGGAAAAAGCTACGCTGGAGAAGGAAAACAAACAGCTGCGAGGGTTGATAAGGGCGGTTCTAGAAGCTGCGGTTTTGGCAAAAAGTGCACCCGATAGCAAAGTTTCTACAAGAGTTCAATCGAAAAGAAGAAGCGCATATTCAGCTCCTCTACATCGAATTACATTTTGATTAATTAAGTCATTTTGTCTAAAATATATTTTAATTTACAAACATTATGGGATCAAAGCAAATGCTAGACTACCTATAATATAATTTTATTTCAAATAATTGTGCACTGAATAATAATAATTTTTATCTGAAAATAAACCTATTTCATAGAATCCTATTTATACAAATTCCTTACAAAGCGATAAAAACTTGTTATTATAAAAAAAAAGGTTCCCTTTTTGCTTGTTTTGGTATCGACTGCACAAAAACATTTTCAACTGAGATGTCCAGATTTTAATAAATATTCTGCTGAAAGTAGGTTGTAGAGGTCGACTCCTCACTTTTATGTGTATATTTGAGATGTGAAGACATTAATTTTTTTGACGCTGCATTTTTTAATCAATATAACCTCTCATTATGAGTAGCTACTTGTGCCGATTGTGCTTTGAAACACATATAAAGAAAAACAATTATTCAAATTACTTTCAAACAATAGGGTGTTTGATGGATGTTTTTCCTGGAATGGTAAGTTTATATGCGAACTTTTAATAAACTCATGTTGATTTACGATTTTTATAGAACTTCAACCTTACAAGCACAATCCAATTATGCGATACCTGCTTCAGCAATTTGCAGTCTACCGTAAAACTCAAACAAACATTTTTGGAATGCAAAACTACTTTTCTAAACCGTAGAGCTACTGTTAGTAATCGATATTGTACGGTATGCTTCAGATCGGAAAATGATTGTTCTTTTATGATGTTTAATGACAATTCTATGATAGTTTTGAAAGGGATGATCCAGATTGTACTTTCTGTAGTAAGTAAAGCTGAGTTTTTGTATTTTGGATAGTGACGTCATGATTTTTACTTTTGTTGAGTGGAGTCGAGTATATCAACATAAAAAATCATATAGTAGGTAAAGTCCGACAAATACCATTTTAAAGTCACGTGATATTGGTGGCAAAAAACGTATGTTCGTTGATTATATCGTTGATATCACCTACAAAAAGCTACTTGTGGTTAATTACTATTGAATTTTAAGATATGTTCCCACTAGCATTTTACAAACGCGTTTCTGAAGTAGTATTGACCAATCAGATGGGAATTTCATTAATTTCAATACTTGCAATTGTTGCGAGACTCACTTTTGTCGTTTCTGCTGCCCCTTGTAATACATTCTGAACTTGAATTGGGTACCCGTTTTCTATTTGCATCTTTTTGAGTTGGAGAAAGGTTAATATAGTCAAAATTATTAGCTGTGTTTGTTCGTTGTATCATTTTCTAAAATAACTTTGACAAACTAATTGATGACAGTGACGGATTCTATTTCAGGTAAGAATTTTATGAAGAATAATTAGACAGCAATTTTTTTGTCAATTTTACTATCACCGCTGTTTGAAATGTATTCAACAAGGATAGAGAAAAATCACGTGACTTTAAAATGGTATGTGTTGGACTAAAGGTACCTACCTCCTACTATTAAAGAGTTAAAAAATCTAATGTAGTAGTACCTATAAATAGGTAAAGAGCAGCTTAAGTTTAGGATAAAAGCTGAGTAGTTTCGGGCGAGGTCAGTTCCATAAGCTGTTGCAAAAATACTGTCGACGATTCTTGTATATTTTTTGGGTTTATTTTGCCATTGTATACACAAATGGTAAACTGGAATGTTAGAAATTTTATTTAAAAATAATGAAGATACTTTGAGACACATTATTGATGTGTAAATATACCTATAAACAATAACGGCATAAAAGTTACTACAAAACCGCCTCTTTTAAACAGCCTTGATCATTGACATGAAATTTTAATGTCACCTTGCATACCAGTGACGTCATGCACGCGCAAAGGAAAATAACAGTAATCAACGTGTGCACCCTAATCGGGCGTGGTGCTTCCAGTGATGTGCCTGTAGACAATGTCAACGTAAACAATTGATTGTCTACGCGTAGACAATTCGAATTGTTTACGTGAGCATTTGTCTACACATTGTCTACATGCGGCGTAAACAATAACTTATTTTAAAAAAATTGAAAAAAAAATATAGAAAGTTACTATACTATCACTATCACTTCGATATTAGCATTCACTGATAATAAAATATCAGAAAAGCCGATAATAAAATAAAAATAATTTAAGAAAAGGAAAGTGTGAGGTTAGAATTAAACGTCATTTATATTATTTTTCATTGTTGACACGTTGTCTACATTGTCTACATTATCTACACGTAAAGTAGACAATGAAAGTCTACGTGTAGACGCACATCCCTGGGTGCTTCCGCAGACTTATTCTGTAACTTGCGACCGCAGAGCATTGCGCAATTGTCGCTGTCAAGTCGCTGTCAAACGCGAGTTTTCTATTCTAAAAAAGTAACTTGCGACCGGTTGCTGGTTGCTATGTAATTGCTGTTCGTAGGGAATAGGCATGCCGGTTGCTTGTATCGCAACAACAGCATTCCCGCTATACTGGCTGCTACCGAAAACCATTAAATTTTGCCGTAGTAGTTTATCAGGACTATGACGTCACGGACAAAGAGCATCGCCAATGAAGCTACACACTATAAGAAAAAAAGTCGCGTGCAGCACAGTACACGTGATAGAAGTGAATACTTATTTATCGATCTCTTTCTCTCTCTCTCCCTCATATTCATCATATGCTTCATCTCAATGGCGAGACGAAAATTTTATAAATCGTGTCGTGACGCGACCCTGAAAAATCACTCTCATGCGGCCAAAGAAGTATTCACTTCAAAAAAAAAAAATTGGCAACATTGCAAAAGTCGGTATTACAGATTTTAATGATTCCTACCGTGAATAATAGACTGGGTATCGGTGTCTCCTTCTTGACGTAAATGTACGAAAACAATTTGGGCAAGTGATTTTCCTGAGATCCTGTTAAAAATAGACGGGCTGACGTGAAGAGAATTCTATTGACGCCGCCAAAACAGAAAAGCGCCACGAAAATCGGAATTACCCTGCTGTAGCTGCCGTACATTTTCATTCCGAAGGACTAAAATTTAAAAAAGAAAAACTCATGACTTTATTTTAACGTTGGCAACACCGCAAATTGGAATTTTACGAATCTAATAAAATAAGCAACACAGTTTTTAGCTTTCCTGTTATTTTTGGTAACAATTTTTATGGAACAAATTTGAACGTTGGCAACACTGTAAGTTTTTTTTTTGTTCCTGTTTGTCCATTTTTATTATTTTCCAACGAGTTTCTAAAATGTTTCAACGAGTTTTTATGATGTTCCAACGAGTTTGCAGTGTTTCAACAGGTTAAAAAAAACTCGCTGAATTTTTTTTTGATGTTTCTAATAAATTTTTAACATTTTCTAACGAGTTTCTAAACCGTTTCAACGAATTTTCATGATGTTCCAACGGACTTCTAGTGTTTCAACATGTTGATAAAAACTCTTTGATTTGTTTTTTTAATTTCTAGTGAATTTTTATCATTTTCCAACGAGTTTCTAAAACGTTTCAACGAGTTTCTATAATTTTTCAACGAGTCCCTAGTGTTTCAACATGTTAAAAAAAACTCGATGATTTTTCTCTTTTTTTGTTTTGGAACTTTTTAATGAATTTTTATCATTTTCCAACAAGTTTCTAAAAAGTTTCAACGAGTTTTAATGATATTCCAACGAGTTTCTATATAGTGCTTCAACATATTGAAAAAAACTCGTTGAATATTTTTTTGAATTAGCTAATGAATTTTCAACATTTTCCTACGAGTTTCTAAAACGTTTCAATGATTTTTTATGATGTTCCAACAAGTTTCTAGTGTTTCAAGATGTTGAGAAAAACTTGTTAAATTTTTTAAATTTTGTTTTTGAATTTTCAACTGAATTTTTATCATTTTCCAACGAGTTTCTGAAACGGTTCAACGAGTTTTTATGATGTTCCAACGAGTTTCAAGTGTTTCAATATGTTGAAAAAACTCGTTAACTTTTTTTTAATTTTTTTTGAAATTTCTAATGAATTTTTAACATTTTACAACGAGTTTCTGAAATATTTCAACAAATTTTTATGATGTTCCAACGAGTTTCTAGTGTTTCAAGATAATGAAAAAACATAGTTTATCGCAAAAATTATGTAAATTTTGCTTTATTATAATGTAATAAATGCAAAATAAAAGTAATAAAACTAATTAAAAACGAGAACTTTTGATAGATGGCGCCTTGATTCATCCACGTTTTCAAGCACCATCTATCAAACCAAGTAGGAACCCTTGTGAAAAAACATTGGTTTAACAGCAAAAACCAAAACATGGTCATAGAAAAAGTATAGTATTTTACTCGTCAAAAATCATTTTTTTGCAACTTGAAAACATTACCAAACTCGGCTTCGCCTCGTTTGATAAACTGTTTTCTCGTTGCAAAAAATGCTGTTTTCGTCACTCGTTGAACAATATACCTACTATTAATTATTCGCGAAATGTCCCAAAGTAGGCGACATCTATGATCAACTTTGGTACTCAAAACTCGGTGAACAACAAAACAAGTTTGCATTTGGCCCCCGTCATTGTTTCTGGAAGTTTTCAATTTTCTACAGAATATTATTCTTTTTACGTATTGTTTCTGTTATATAAATCACAAAAACGCCATAAAACACAATTTAACAAAAACTAACCTCAAAAAACTGGCTTTGTTGTTCACTGAGTTCGGCAGACATATTGCTATTTTTCGCGTAATTTAGCGCCATCTATTGGTACAGGAATTTCGCCATATAATTAATAATAATCAATAAAATTGACAATTTGGCATCATTGCTCTTGTTATGACATAAGTAAGAAGAACTATCAAAGTAGGCCTTGTGTTTTTTTTTATAGTAATTGGTACCGTCATGGCGTCTTTTGATGCGTATTGAGACCCACGTCTTGGGTTCTTTGCATAATTTTGGGGTTTTTTGGACGATTTGAGGGCTAAAGAGTGTGTATTGAAGTGTTTTGTATTGAAAATATACGAAATTCTAGGCCGGGCTTTTGATTTTGATTGAAAATAAGTTTTTTCGCATTTTTTTCA